CTTACTACGAGGTTCTACAGCTTATGAGAGGAAAACAAAACTTTCCTACTGTAAGACCAAAGACTGGTGACGTGGACCACAACTGAATGGCTCATTGTGAATGATCACAGATTGCTAAGTTGCAGAAACAATAAGAAAAAAAAAAAAAAAAAAAATGACATCATCAGAATTAATTCTCAGGAAAACAGAGAAGTGTGATAGTTAAATGCAGTTGCAGTATTAGTTCGAATGCCGATTTTCCTGGAGAAAATTAAGACAATCCACATTAAGCATTTTTTTGCCGAAAGTAAAACTGAAAGAAAATATCAATTGAAATTACTTATGGCCTATTGTAAAGGCAAAGGCATACCTACCTACAGACTTGGGAGTCGCTTTTTGGCAGCCAGTAACAGGTACCTAAGTACTACGTACATAAATTATTAAAAATATCATAAGCGCCCGTTATCGCTACCTAACTAGGAAATACATGAGACAATTTGAATACAATGGTTATAAAGACAATAATCGTGTCGAATGTAACTATTTGGAAGTTAGTCGCGTTGCACACTGGCGGTAAGTGGGCCGACTTACTTCATATTATAAATGCTAATTATTATTTCACACTACGAATGGATATTATTTTTATTTAAATTCGTTATAATTGACGCCACTGTCTAAGTTTCCGGTAAAATTGCGAAAAGATTTCTTTTCAAAAAGTTGGTATGTGGCGTTCAAGGCTGGCCTTTGTCTGGTTAGTTTAGACATTTCTTCTGTAAAATATTTTAGCATGGCTGAGTATAGACGGCAAGTAAAATTATGGTTTATTAAAAGCTTAGGGTATTGAAAACTGTCAGGAAGACCAATTTAGGGGATTTATTAGTTCTAATTGCTGTTAATTCAGTGAGAGCCTCTCGCAGTCTCGATCGATATGAGTTGAGGAAATTTTTGCTATTTTACCTTTCAGTTGGTACAATTTATTGAGGATCACTTGGAAGTTCAAGAGAGTCCTTAAAAAGAAAATAAGATTGAATGAGTCAATTGCTGTCATTACACTTTTTGTGGAACCAGGCAAGACAACAGCTGTTAGTTTCATTGTAAGATCAATATCAGATGGATGAGAGTGATAAGGTACTTACATACATTACTTAGCATAATCCTCTACATATCCTATTGTTGACTTATTATACCGGCTTATACCACTCACGCGCATAACGTATGATAATCCTATTAATATTATAACCACGAAGTTGTTCAGGACGGAAGGATGAAAATTAGTTTCAAACGAAAGCAGTAGTCACTCATGAGATTTGTATGAAATTCAGTATGAGGAAACTTTGAGTTCGTCTTATTGTAGGTAAATAGATATAGACAATTTAATTTTTGTTAACCAGCTGTGTGTTCTGACTTAGTATTGCATTGACAGATGAGTACAATATATTTTTTGAACCCCGGGGGCAGAAGCAGGCAGGAGGCAGGATTGATTCATCGATGTCTGCATCGTCGCTTACCACCAGGCGAGATAGTGGTCGAACATCAATATAAACGCTATAAAAATATTTTTTTTGATCCTTGAATCCAATCTTCCAATAGATCGCATTAGTAACAATTTAATGAACGACATTGCAAACAAGAAATTACAGTCATAGAATTAATTTTACGGTTATGTAATTCGTAAAAGGTTTTATTTAATTAGACTTTCAAGTACGTACATAAAGACCATTGTTTAGCGTATGAAAGAACTAAATTACAGTTTGATTTCTATACTGTACCTATAAATATAAAGTCTGTATGTAAGTACCTACGTACTGCGTCTACTTGTATTTGGTAAGTAGATACTTATTGTATTGTCTGTTTTGGTTTGTAGAGATCACGAGCCTGCTTTGTGTTGCCGAAAGAAACAGTCGTTTGGTTTTGTTTGATAATCGAGTGCGCATTGATTTGGTCAATGAAACAGTAGATAGCATTGTGCAGGCCGAGTGACCGCGTGGGCATTCACTGCACTTAATTGAACACCTGTCTGAGGACATTTGGATAAAAATCTTAAATTATTATTGTTGCTAGGTCGATTGACTAAATATTTGTTTTAATTGAGTTTTGTTTAAATAAGTATTGAACGAAATGGACTGCTGAAAGAACTTTGTAGACGTAGTCCCGTTAGATGGCTAAGGAATTCGTCCGGCTATTCCTTAATAAGGGTGAAATTTATTTAAAACATTTAGTAAATAAAGTAAGCCATTTTATAGTTTTAAGAATTTGAAACATTTTTAACCGATATGGAAATGGAAGCAATATTTGAAACAAACAGGGCGCTTATCTACAAAAAGATGTGAGGTAACAAACTACCCCTCTCGGTAGATGTCTCGCAAAGCCATGAGTTTATTATAATATTGCCCCGGGGAGATAGCGGGCCTAATAATTAAAAGTAAATCAGTAACTGTTTAATTGTTCAAACATATACTTACCTGTTTATATCAAAGCCGGACATTGAACAGCTGCGTGATACAGGTTTTAATTGACAATTCTAAACCTTATCACGTTTGACATATAGTTGAAAATTGTTCAGCCGTGAATGCTGTCGAAGGTACACAACTATAGGTAACAATTGTACCAAATATTAAATGACGGAGAAAAAAAAAACTAAAAGAATAAAAGTACCCCATACGTAATCATAATAAAATGCGCTTGCGCCACTCAGGGCCGTGTCAAGGTCGAACGCGTAACTTGAATTTTTTCGAATTCGTTTCTCCATTGGCGTGCGGTTGGCACTATTCTTTTATTTTCCGGTTCCGGTTGTTACACTCACAAACAACTAGTTCCTAAGGATATCTAAATGCTAATTGGTCCCGCAATATAGTCTATCGGTATGTAAAGTGTTATTTATGATACCCATTTAAACTTAGTACCTAGTAGGAGAGAAGTTCTAAACTTAAATTGCACCGTACAGAGTACTCGGTGGAAAGTAGTTTTCCTGACCTCATATTTTAGATGACGACAGATATAGGGCAGTATTTCATCAGCCTGTTGTATCTTGACCTACTTAGGTATTTACTTATGTATATTGTTCCTGTCTTGCATACCTACTTGCGCATACAACTTCTTCCGCGTGGTTACAAACCTCTACTATTGTAGTATTGGGTGTACCTATAGGTAACGTACAATAATATAATTATATATAGGTTGGAAACCATTATAGAAAATCCTGTTTGCCTGAGGAACATAGAGGACAATCAGACACTGTCTTACTAAACTATCATCATAATCATCATCAACAGCATAAAAGTGGCCATTGCTGACCAAAGGTCTCTTCTCACACGGAGATGGAGAAGGTTTGGGCATTAATCACCACATTTGCTCAATGTGGGTTGGCGATTTCAAACTTATAATTAGAAAGTATAAGCCCAGGTTTCCTCACGATGTTTTCCTTCACCGTTTGTCAGTGGTGTCTAAATAATCTTAGATAGTACATATAGTTAACTCGAAACAAGTCACATTGGTACGTGTCGTTGGTAGGTTTCGAACCTGCATTCTCATGCATGGGACGCGAGTGTCTTGAAACTCCGGGCCACCCCGACTAAAAACTATATAATATCTCATCTGGAGGACAAGAGGATGTTGATTTATATAATAACATACATTTCTCTCGTAGACAAATCAACAATCTTAATAATTTGCACTTAGTATTCGAATATTTTAATTACATGCAGTGCCAAGTAATTAGGAATTGTACTGGCTTATTGACCGTAATGGACAAAGTCTGGTACTAAGTTCTTTAACTAAGATTAATTTAACATTGTAAGGAGGTAATTAATAGGTATTTTATAATGGCTGTATCACGAACTGCGACTAGTCTGGTTAAAAGTGCGTTGTTGATTAATTGTGCTTAAATAACTTAGTAGCGTTTGTGACTTTGATAAGAGGAATGATTGATTTTTCATATTGCTATTTTGTATGTCTATTTTACTACGATTCTATTGAGAATTAAATTGGATTAGGCCTAACGATGTTGTGGAATAACATGGTTGCATGACGTTAGTCGGTGCGAATGATGTTCACGATTATGGACTCCGGTCCTGACTTGAAACTAGTTGAGTACTCTCGAAACTTTGCATAATAATTTCTAATTGAATTTATGACACGTGACATTTATTATCATACACTATGATATCATAGCGTTTTCATAGGTGTAATAATTGTAAGCAAAATACCAAAAGTGTAAAAGCCCGTAACGAATGTTTGTAAGAATTAGTTGTGCAGTTACCGCGTTAATGAACGTGCGGTTGGTTCACCGACATTCCGTCATTAAGACATTGTGTTTATGTATGTATTCATTTGCATAGTGAGACAGTTTCTGTGCTAGCCCTGTTAATTACCACTCTGAATATCGAACTAATATCTATTTACTAAGTTGCAAGTACTGCGCCCTACGTTTGTGGGTGCGGGTTTATTGTCAGCTCCAATATTACTCCTACATAAGTATTTCACACTGCATTAGATGTAGATTTGGAGGACTTAGTTAAAATTGTTGTCTTATTTTACAATCGATTAGTTTCTAGGCGATAATGAAGTGATGCGTTGTTGTTTACAAGTCTGTCGGAAAAATGTCTCTCTGTAAAAATTTACCATTAAAAGAACTATGGGAAATTGGTAAGAAAAGAGCTGCAGTTTTAATTTTTAATACTACATTTATTTCTTTATGTTCACTTTTTACAAAAATCCTTAAAACTAATCTTTAAACAATGGCAAGTAATTGTTGAGTTACAGAACTTAAAGCGTTGCGCCTAACTTAACTAAGATTTACAGATCCAGTATTTAAAGTAAAATGTTTACAATTATAAAAAGTAATAAATAACTAAATATCTATAAACAACGATATGTATCATAAGAATAAGCAGTAATATTGACAGTTGGACGAATTAAAGCACTATATTATATTTAGTCACATCATAGCCTTGCAAGCTCACAATACAAATAAATTAACACATTCAGAAATATCCTAAATTGTATAAATGTACAAGTTTTAATCATTTATTCGGTGGAAAGTCTAGCGTGGTGTACGTAGGGCGGGTGCGGGGTACGGGCGGGCGGCGGGGGCGGGGGTGAGTCTTGCCCCCTTCCGCCGTCGAACTCATGGAAGCTTCCCCTTCTTCAGGCAGGTAAGGCGCTCTAGGACTGAGCACTAAAGCTTTGTATGACGAGTGAGAGTCCGCTATACTGCGGCCATCACCCTCATCTCGCCTTGACATTTCCGAGAATGGGGACACGGATCGTTTCTCAATACCACTCGGCCCCGGAGTCTCTTCCTTAGGTTTCAGTTCATAAGCGTTCTCTTCTTTCCTCTTTGGCTCCGCGTCCTTCTTGAACTTCGTCTGTCTTTCTATTATTTCTGCCGTGGTCAAGTCAGACCCTTGCACGTCTGTTTCTAGAGGCGGCGCTGACAGCCACGGTCGGGAGGAGTTGGCGCCACACCAGCGCTCCTCATTTTCGCTTGTATCCCCTAAAAGACCAAGTTTCTCCAGATTCTGTAATAACAAATTCTCACTGGAACTGGCTGCTCTCATTTCCGTCTTAGATTCCTCGGCTAGGAGAAGTTCTGCCAACGGTGGAGCTAGACCTAGTCCGATGTTCCTTTCGTGATAGACTTCGGAAATTGTTGGAGTTAGTTCTCCGCTCATATGCCTGACTTGGGCCATTGAGTCACGGCTGCTCGTTCCCATCTTCGGTCGTGGCGTGCGTTTGGACGTTGAAGGTTGAGCTAACGCCTGATCAGTCTTTTCTTCTTCTGACCTCCTCGGTTGTGCTGACGCGAGGTCATAGAACGCGTCAAGGTACCTTGCATGAGAGTGTTCTGGTCTTCTTCGTAAGACTGTGTCGTGTCCAGAACTTTCCCAGTCGGAATCATCGGATGGTGGTCTCCTCGTGTATAGAGTCCTAATCTTGGTTTGGTGTGCGAGCGCCAGCGACACGTCTCGTGGAGGAGCGGAGGTCGGTGCAGGCGGGGCTGCGGGGGGAGAGGGAGTGAAGGCAGCGTCACTCTCTCCTCTGTATCTTGGCGGTGGAGGTGCCGGCGGCGGTGCAGTTCTACCATCAGGCTCTCCTCGGCCGACTTCAGTGGATGAAGTGGATCCACGGACGTACATTGTGAATGCGCCACCACATGACCCAAGAGGCAACGGTGGCGGAGGAACTGATGATACGCTTTCCTCTGTGAAAGAAAATGATACGGTCAACGTGCTGATTCTATTTTGGAAAGATACAATCTTCTATTAGTGATGTCCTAACATATTTTTTCTCAATCTCTCTCTTACGTAACGTAACAAAGGCCTTATTACGAGTTCGTTTTACGTTTAAAGTAATCGGAACGAGATTGCGTTCGGCGCTCTGATTGGTTGGTTCATTGGAGCCGGCTAATTAGAGCGCCGAACGCGTACTTCCTACTAAGCACTCAGAATAGGTTATATAAAATGCACTTACGTCGATGTTGTCTCGGAGGAGGTTCACCATCAGAATGAGGTTCCAAGTCACCGTCATCAATCGAAGCCAGTGATTCTACGCTGGAGCTCGATTCCAAGCTTAGACTTCGTGGGGCTTCTTGTGTATCTGTGAAAGATATTTTTTCTTATTAGTCAGATTTCTTTGTTTTTGAATACTACCAACTGATTAAATATAAATTTAATTTAAAAAGATCAAGAATGACTTTGGGTTTCAAACTTACCAAACAACGCGAGCAGTGCTTGCAGAACGAACTGTATGTGCCGTCTGTTAGCTGCCTTGCCAGTTCGTAGGGTCACTTCATCCTGGCCTACTTCAGCCAGGTCGAAACCAAGGGATGCTAGAAGCTCATGGCAGCCGTTGACACGCCACAACCTAAGCGTAACAGGAAATATTAAGTATAATAATAATATTGACAAGGGTTTATTAAAAACTTAAACTGAAGGCGAATAAGAGGTTAAGAACACCATTATTAGGTACTTCTTTCAATATTACTTTTTGTCAATTTAACATAGAAATGTAAATAGACATAGGTAAATACAAACCTAACGTTAACAGCGACTTCAATGATGTCGGTATCAGAGTTTTTGACGGAGAACTGTGAGATGACGGATCGGATCACTCCGATGATGTCGTCAGCCACGTCGCCGTTAGAAATCAGCTTCGACAGTGCTTGTAGTGTTGTAGAGGTTAGACCTGTGACGAAGTAGGAGAGATTAATGAAATGTGATTAAAACAGACGGCGTAAAAACATATTGATATTTCTATATTAGGAGCAGATTAAACCGATAGTCCAACCGAGATTGGTGAACATGAAAATAATGATAATCTACGAGTGATATGAGTATGAATGTAGAACATTTAAAACTTACCTAGCAGAGCTTGTAAGCTAGCTGAACATTGGGTTAGTCTTTCTTCAGGGTCACTTTGAGGGAAGAACACACTTGATGGAATTCCATTTGCAGCTGGTTCGAACCTAAGTACAGAAAAATTGCCATTAAAAGCTATTTAAGATTTAAGTGAAGCTTTTGAGAACATTCTTTTTCAACGGCACTAATGTCTGGTCTACGGTCTTTGCTCAGCAGTAGGCACTAAATAGGTTGATTATTATCATGAATGTTGGTTGTGAAATTATAAGATTTGTAGTATTTGATTTATTATGGTTATTGTAGTATTTGTTAATGTTTTTGTGCCATATTAAGGTAATAAGTTAAAAATATTTTAATACTTTAAAACAAATTCTTAAAAATAGTTATGTAAGATTTGAAATAATTAAATTATTACATTAATTAAAAAATATTATTTTGTAAGTAGAGTAAGTACTTTTGCGGTGCCCAAATGGGCCTATAGTTGGAACATATTTTGTAAAAAATTGTAAACAATTGAATTTGAATTTGAATTTGAAGATTCAAGTAAAGGTTCTTACCTAAATCCAACGCTCATAAGTAGTTCCCTCCATCCATTGATGCTACCAGCTTTGTTCTCTATACTCTTCTGCGTGGTGTACATGGCGTTCTTCTGTCCTCTCACTATCCTCTGGAGGGATTTCTCGACCAGGTGCAAACATACTCGCAGTGCGTCCCTGTACAGAGGAATTATTTTCTTTACTTCTATCTATTATATCTATTCTATCATTTTGATGGTTATTTTTTAACCGGAGTATTTGCAAGAGAAGTAGATATATTGCTATTAGATGGTGTATGAAAAAATTTACAATATAAATATTATGCTTATTGGTTAAAGTGAAAGTGTTTCAAGTACTAGAAACTGCTTATTAGGTGTTTTTCATGTTTTATCAGTGTTTTTGAAGATTTCTGAGAAACTTTAACTTTAGTCTCCATGACTGGTCTACATATTTAGTATGGTGATAATGTTTACTATCTTACCGGCACTTATCAGGCGCGGCGAGTAGTTCACAGAGCGCCTGCCCCATGAGCGCCACCTTGTTACTGAGGCGCACGTTGGCCCCCACCAGCACGAGGCCGGCCCAGTGCGCGGGGTGAGCGAAGTGCTTCGTGTGACGGACTGTCTGCATCGCGTCGCCTAGGGCCCTAAGGGAAACAAGTACATTTTCGTTTATCATCATAAAATATCGAGGTTTTAGACATCATCGTGAACATTATTATTGAGCATTAGTTGTAGAACGTTAGACAAACACATATATTATGTAGATACACTAGATCAGATACATCAACCTATTACAAGCTGCTATTACATAAAATTTCTTGGAGGATCCATTCAAGTGACAGACCTGGAGAGACCAGTAGGTTGCCATAATAGATCAACAAGGGTTTCTTATGGTGTATCGTAATTTGATTTTTGTGTAAAAGATGTTTTGTATTTTTGGTGGCACTATTTCACGATGAAAAAAGTCAAATTGCGACTCCACGGGGTGGTTTTCTATAGATAAGTTTGAGAACAACTTATCACTACTTACTTGGCAACCCTGCTACCCTGCAGTAGAGCAGAATAAAGCGCTCTATACAGTATCTTAGTAGCAGTATCTTGCGGAGCAGGCCATAGAGCTAGTAGTACTGCATGAGCTCCGGCCGCTAGTAGAGCGCGACATAGTCGAGATACTCCATCTCCCGCTAGACGCACGTCTCCGTTTTCTGAGCCCGGGCCTTGTAGCGCGGCACTTGATGGTGCACACGAAATCACCACCTGGATAAAGGACGTATTATTTAGATAATTTAAAAAACAAAAATCATTTTGAAATTAGAAAATTAAAATAAAGTCTCAATTGGGTTCGGAGCGGTCTTTGCCATGGTTATCACAATAAAATGGGTAGTACGCAAATTAAGCTTTTTTTTTGTTAAAAACTAAAGAGCATACCAATCTAGCAGTGATCTTGAGATTCATAATTTCCGATGCAGTCAGCATGAACTCTGATGCCGGGGGCAGCTCTTCATTACTTTGGGGCAGCTCGGGATCTGTAGCAAGTAACAAAAGAGTGACAATCAGTATATTTAGACTTACGTCTTTATACAGGCTTCATATAATAATATATACTATTACATAATATTACTTTTATTCAGTTAGTAATGTTTTAATGAATGAACAGAGCGATACGTACTTTCTTCTTCATTTTCGGTTGAGGTATCAGCAGCCCCGCTGCCTACACTTGTGTTCAACAAACGCTTAGCTTGGGAGTCAACCTGTAATCAAACACATAAATATAAACATTTTATGAGGTGTTCCTCAAGGCGCACTATTGGGACCAGCACACATTTTAGGAAGCTGACTAGAAAAAAAATGGAATAAGTTTACTGACCACTTCGCCAGGGCTGAGTACGATGGCAGGAGTCTTCCAACAGATGTGAGTGGCGAAGTGAATGCATTCTGCTTGCGTCAGCTGCGATAGAACAGCTTCTTTTGATGCCTGTGGACGGAAAGTTGTATTACGTTATGTCAATACTTAAATGGTTCTTATAGAGAACGATTTGTTTGGTGAAAGCTAACTTGTTACTATTTGGAATAAATTACATTACATTATTGTCAATATAATGTAGATTTAGACTTTAACGTAACGTAAGTCACCAAAATATTGATTGACCAAGAAAGTTTTATCTTGGTGATTTTGTAATTGAACCTTGAACTATAGTTCTTTAAGACTGCCCTTTAATTATGCATACTAGTTATTTTTCGTCCTTGTCAGTTCCGTATATTACCTGGTAGTCAGTTAGTGGAGTGACACGTAGCATATCAGCGACTAGTTCTGCCTCCTTGAGCTGTGCGTGTTGCGAGGCCCACCGCGCCGCGCCCACACGAGGCGCTCCCACTACTAGGCATCTCATACCTGCTTCCTGAGCATTGCCAGCGCCTGCAGTAGCTCCTGCTGGAAATCATAATTTATAAGCATTCGAAATATTTTGTACTGTGTTAAGAGTAGTACAGATTATATACCTTATTGGATTTAAAGGATTCGTTTATCTTTAATGGAACATTGTTACTGTGATTTAGTTTCGTATTATAAACAAAATGACCGATTTGGAAGTTTGATTGCAAAAATCACCAGCAATTAAATTAGGTAAGATTTTTCAACTTATCGGTTCAAACGTGACCTTCGTCTATCTCACATCATGAATCTCACTTAGAATTTGCTAGGTAAGAATCCACGGATTGCAATTATTATTTTTCTTGCACTAGTGATTGCTAGTATTTTTGAAAATAATAAACGACTTACCATGTTCATGATGAGGTCTAGCTTTCATGTGTCGATGATGTCTCAGTGGCCGTAATGCAGGAGCGGCCAGTAGTGCGTATCGTTCACACAATGGTTCCCCATCCCCGGCCACACTGAGGCCGGCCGTGGCAGGAGTTGGAGCACTGCGTAATGCTCCCCAAGGACAAGCGTATAAGGCGCCCTCTACTACTACGATAAGTTCCCTACGACCACCGCAGCCGCGCCGTCCGTGGGTAGCTGTGGAAGGAAATGATATAAATAAGCATTGTCCTCAAGAATTACAAAATTTGGTTAATCGAATCAAAGAGTTAACTTATAATTTCAAAATAATGTACTTCTACAAATGTAGCTAACAAGTTTTGATGATGTGCTTACCATGATTATTGTTACAAGAAGCAGGTAGTAAATCTTCGAAGGGAGCCAGTAGCATTTGATACAAAGCGCTGAGACATGGCGGGCCCTGCCAGGATGGCTGCTTCTTCCGGGGAACGTGGACGCTCGACCTGATTGGACACAAACATCATAAGAAACATGTTACAAGAACATAATATTATTGAACTTACTAAAATGTTAAAATTGAAGTCAATCAAACACCATAAAAAGGTCTCAAAATTACTAATGGCTATTTTCACCAACCATACTTATATCATCTTTTAATTAGGAGTAAATTAGCGTGACCGAGCTCCTAAACTTACTAAGAGTTAGACCTAACAGCAGCACAACCTAAATACTATAGGGGGATTCCTTAAAATTAAAGAGAAGTTGGTGGAAACGGGCATTGCATCAATAAACCTACACGACTTAAATGAATCCTGTACCTGGTCGATCCTTGTAAGCTGGCTACGGATCCGGCAACAGATCCTCCAACAGATCCAACACTGAACAGCGAACTGAGAGAGTAGTTGGACGAGTTCAGTAAATGGTTGCGAGTGACCATTCTAGCTAGACCCGTACTCGGTCTATCATCAGGATCCCATTGGTCTTCAGCCTCAGCTCGACGCTCAGCATTAGCTTTTAGCCAAGCAGACCACTCGGTGATGTATTGCTCCAATTTGCCGAGACCACTAACTGTAGAGAGATAAAACATTTTTGAAAGGTTCACCTTTATACTGGTTACAATAAGGTTTAATTTTGTAGTTAAATCTTTGCAGATGAAAATGGTCATACATAATGATCTTACCATTGTTTGGCTGTAGGTCATCTGGACTGATGTCTGGGAGACTGTTATCGTTATCTTCTGCCTCTTCCAGTAGAGAGACTTGGTGGAATCTCAGTATACCTGGTGATGAGAAAATATATGTTTTAGAAGAACATTGTTATCTCCAATAATCTGGTTTACTTATTAGTAGTTAGTTTTTTGATCAGTATTTTTTTCTTTATAAAGTAAATTACCTTTATGTGGTTGCAGTAGCCAAGCATACAGTCTTCCAGCTGCAAGACTGTAGTATAGTACAGGGGCTTTCTGCTTATTGACGACTTCTAGAACTTGTTCTACTGTAGTAGGGCTCCAGGGCTCCGAGCGCTCCTTGCCTGATTCTTCCGCATTTCTAAGAGGATAAAGAGAATTTACATTATTACTCTCCTTAGCTGTGTTTCTTTTGGTTACGTTAGAACACCGACATAGTCCAAAATCTACTTTATAGATTTTTCTATATGGAGCTTCTGGACCTATATTTTGTGGAGCGTATTTAATGAATTCGATTAGACTTTATGAAACATACCTTTGTTGTGCATGAAGTTCGAGATTGGCTTGGTTGAGAGTTCCGGATGGTTTCTCAGTGACTGTGTCCAATGCCCGGCAGCGTCCTCTCTCAGCTACCACAAGAGCTTCGGGATGGCGACCCAGTTCTGGAAAATAATACTTCTTTTAGACAATGCTTCATGAAAATTTTCTTAATCGAAATTAACTGGTAGCAGAAACATGGTTCTTAATCCATCCGTTTAAAGTCCGCCTCTTAAGAGGCTCCCAAGGCTTTCGGGAATTAACTCATTGACCGACACCACTATCAGCAAAATGATAGCCGATAGCAAAGTCCACGTATGACAACCTTGAGAGCGGAATTATTTTGTGGAAAAAAGTAAAGATGTGAACTATATCTTACCAACAAGCACCCTCTGCAGCGCATGTAGCGTGGCGGCGTGGGCTGCAGCCAGCCGAAGGTGTCGTCGTTCGGCCGCGTCTAGTAATGCTAGGGCGGCTTGAAGTTGTTCCTTTGCTTCTTCTAGCTCTCCTGATGCCCATAGTGCGAAACCTAAGCGGTGACGTACTCGGGCCTGGAAATACATGTTTAGAAGTTAGGTTTTTGCAGCATTATGAATTGGTATTTTGAAATATTTGGTGGCTAAAGTCTAAAAGGGTCTAGACATATTCTCTTGAAAAAATATTTAACTGATGGCGTCTGAAAAGTAGTTACCATATTCTAATTAAGGTATTTTTTGCGGACTTATTAAACACACAATAATTTCTGATATCAACATCTATCAGCATCATTATCATCATCATTATAAGAACGACAGTTTACCTCTTCATCAGCGTCAGCGAGTCCTTCAGTGGCCGCTAGAGCTTGCCTCAAGTACGACACCGCGCTACCACACGCACCCATCGCGAGGTGAGCTCGGCCTAGATCAGCCAGTGCTTGGGCACGTCCTCTTGTATCTCCTGCACACAAGAAAAAAGTAACCTTTATTGTTAAGTTATTCTCATTATATTTGTCAGAATTGAGAAAGACTTTTTATTTTGGAAGAGAATAAATCTATATTAATTGAAAAGTACATCTTGCGATTCGAGAAAAGCTCTAGTAGTTTCAAGTCATATCGGGACTCTTGTTCATAAGCAGCGTAAGTTTACGTAAGCGTATTTGGCAATTACTTTAGTTATAGTTTTTACACAAAAAGAAAAATATTCCTATAGTATTACTGACCTGCAGCAGTAGCATGTCGCAGCCGTGACTCGTGCCACCTGGCGGCCTCTGCGTGAGCACCCATCGACGCGTGCGCCGCTCCCAATCCACCGCATGCACGGGCCTGGAGGAAAATCTTATTGTTACATCGCGACATTCATCAAGAAAAATAAAATAGCTTGCTACGGATGGTGAAAATTATGGAGGAATTGAGAAGTACACTACTTTTAAGACAAGCATAAAATTTACACGATATTGTAAACTTTTAAATTCCAAAGAGATATTGGCGTATATAATCAAAAACGTGTTACAAAACCATTTATGTTGAGAAATGGTAAAGTTCCAAAAATAATTTACCTGTAGATGTGTGAGACCCAGCCTGTGCGCCAGCTCTAGTTCAGCTCGATGGTGCCTGACGGCTGCGGCGTGGTCGCCCAGGGCATGCTGAGCCACGCCTAGTGAATGGCATGCCTCCGCTTCCATTATCTGGTTGTTTAGTTCCCTGGACACAATCGATACAATATCATATTAAGAGGAGACCAGTTTCGAAGTTTTAAGCAGAGAATAGACGAAATAAAGAAATTGATATGGAATTGAACAAATAACAAATAAAAAAAATTAAACAGTAGTGATAATATTATATTCGTTTCGTGCTTCTTAATAATTCAGTCAGAGATAGACTGTAGTCTAGATAACATTTTATCATCGGTCTTATAACAGAAGAAGATATTTCTTAAGACGTTATGGTTCGTTCGTTCAAACTCTTGTTGACAAAATAAAAATTTTGGATCCACTTTCATAAATCCACTATAAAATATAGTAATTGAACTGTAAATGACATACTTGGCAATATTCTTCTGATGATCCAAACACAGCACAGCTTGTTCCAAGTTGTTCAGTGCTATGTGCAAGGCTCCCAGTTCCCCGTAAGCTTGGGCCTTTGCTTCTGGTACTCCGAGTTCATGGGATACCACTAGACGCTTCTCTAGGCATACCAGTGCTTGCTGCAAATTGCCAACTGACCTGGAAAAGGACAAAAGTCATGATTTAGATAGGCAGAAGAGTAAATTCAATGTCATTTGTTGATACTATGACCAACTAAGATGACCACATCTTAGGTTTAGACAAGTGCTTTTTGACGTTTATGATTTTGTCCCAAATGGGTCAATAATTAGGTTCGGGCATACGAAATTCTGGGTTGTTCCAACTAAAAATCCTCAATAGTACCATTTTAGGTACAAATCATTGAACGTCAGAGCACAGCAGAGGTGCACATCAGGGCACTTAATGCCACTGTACCATGTAACACCCACTTTTCACTATTTATGTTATGAGTCCTCTTGAAATCCTTTTCCCGACCCGGGAATCGAACCCAAGACCCCTTGCCTGGCAGTCGGACTTGCGACCACTCGGCCAACGAGGCAGTCGAATAATTAAATCATTTTTAATACACAGCATACTTACTTGTGACTCAGTCCAAGACCACGGTAAGCTCTTTCCTGTTCTCGTTTGTTGTCAAGTTTGAGTGCAGCGGCCAGATGTTGTTCATGATACTTGGCTGCTTCATCAGGGTCACCTAGAGCATCATAGCAGTCGCCTAGGGAACCCAGTGCTCTGGCCTTGTCCAACTGACACGTTGGAGTGTTTACGCGTTCCAGGATTGCGAGTTGCTGGAATGAAAGAAATAAGTTTCTTTAGATTAGTCATTTAAAAAATATATATATACCATGAGAACAGTATGGAATCCTTTTGGAAGATTTGTTTTTGATGTCATTTCTCTCATTTACTTTTGGCTGCCAATATAAAATATCATAACAAACAAATGCATTCACAAAGTAAGTGTTCATATAGCCTATCCTATGCTTGAGTGAGAATTGGTTCTTCAATGATTACAAATATTCAACAAACCTGTTCTAAATATCCGATAGCATCTTCATAATGTCCCATGTTAAGTTTAGCAATACCCAAGTTGCCATATGCTTGGGCTTCTAGCGCGCAGTCCTGAAGTTCTTGTGCTCTTTCCAATTGTTCCTGAAAATGTATAAAAGTTTTATTAACTGCAGAATTTCTAAAAGTTTAAGTGCTTAGCTCTTTTGAACGTTATATAAGATTAAATGAATTTGTTGGAAAACTCTCTCTTTTAGGGTCATCGCATTACTATTAATAGCATATTTTGTCTTGATATTTTAAAAGACGGTCAGCAACGTTTTCATAATAATCATACCAAATTATTTCACTTACCCTATAGCACCTGGCGGCATGTGAATAGTGTCCTAACGCCATGTGTACAGCTCCAAGATGAGAGTGAGCTCTAGCTTCACCAGCTGCATCTCCAGCTTCTTGTCGAAGTGTCAGTTCCTGGAAGAATATTCAAGTTAAAAATATATAGAATAACTATTTTGAGTTACGATTTAAAGAAGGATGAGCAAGTAATTTCAGTAAAATCTTCTAGAATGACGCTTACTTGAGTATGGTGTCCTAACGCGGCATCTAATCTTCTTTGCAGTCTTCTAGCAAGACCTAGCGCACCACACGCTGCTGCCTCTAACGATCGGTCACGGGCCTGAAGATGACAGAACAAAGTTTACTAAGGAACTACCAATTCATCACTTAATTTTAGAGTACAATTACACAAATAGGGTAATGGAGCCCTCCTTCTTATCCAAAATTCCTAAAAGGTCGGCAACGAACTTGTGAGTTACAACAAAACCTTTTTCCTGGTGTTACGGGTATCAATGAGCTTTAAAATTTTGCTAGTTTACTAATGTGTATAAGGTACTTACTTGTCTGGCAAAACCAAGTTGCCTCTGATACATCTTCACAGCTTCTTCTACATCTCCCATTTTGATGAGTACATCTCCAATGTTGCCCAAAGCTCGGAACTTCCCTTGTAAGTGCTGTGTCATGTGCGCTATCGCTAAGAAATACTTTTGGCACTCCAATGCAGTCTCCAGATTACCCAGAGCTAAGTGCGCTAGTCCAAGGTTGCAGTACGCTCGCCCCATGTTCATCTTGTCTTGTAAGTCTTTGGCCAGGGATAAGTCTTGATCATAGTATCTGTAATTATTGGAAGTAAATGAGTTGTCCAAAAAAATATTGACGTCAACGTGATAAGGGTCATTGGGTTTAATTTGTTAACTTTTGTTTTGGCTTACCTGACAGCCTCCCTATAATTTCCAAGGCAATAATGGGCGTATCCAAGAAAATGGCAAGCTTTAGCTTCAGCTGTGACGTCTCCTAGCTCCTGAGAGAGCATCAAGTGTTGTTCATAGTAAGGTACGGCTTGTGCAAACTCCCCCCGAGAGGAGAGGCAGTTGCCAAGGTTAAGGAGAGCGCACGCTTCTCCTGCTGCGTCTTTTAGCTCACGGGCTATGCCTGGAATGTTAAATTATTCTGTTAATTATATCCCACATATTGTACTAAGTACTAAAAGTAAAAGGGTATAATGTTTATATTGTAACTTTCGTGAGACATACTAAATTAAATATTATGTTTTCGGCTTACTCCAACAGTAACGTGAGTAAGCCAAGAACATAATAATGAATTGGTGTTGTGAAGAAAACTCACCTAAATGAGCCCTATAATGAAATAGTGCCATATCATGTGCTCCTAAAGCCTGGTAAGCGACAGCCAAGTTCCCATGTGTGGAAGCTTCAGAACTTCTATCGTGAACCTCTTTGGAGATCGTCAGCTCTTGTTTGTGGTATTTGATGGCTTGCTCGTAAAACCCCGCGGCGGAGTAAGCATTGCCTATGTTACCATAGGCTCTGCCCATGCCAGCTTTGTCCTGAAAAATGAAAAGTAATTCTCTCCAATTCGATTCGTAAGGCTGATTGGTTCCATTGAAAAGCGCATAAAATGCAGTGAGCATTGTCATCGCTATCATGATTAAAAGCAATTATATTTTTATTCCATGTATGTCGTGTCTCTGTTATTAAATTCATAAAGATTGTTAAGGTAGTATTTAAAGACAGTTTCACATATATGGCCATAACTCAATAGCGTGATTTTATGCTCGGTCTGGCAGCAGTCGTTCAGCGAAACTCCGATGACATACCGTTGATGGATATTTTCTTTACAATAGAAAATACTTTCAATCAATTATTATTAGAGTTTCCATTGAATAAAATCCAACTTCAAATATTTAAGAAGACAGTGAAATATACAAACTTAACTATGGGAAGAGAGATACAATAAAAGTATTTGTTAAAGGAAATAGTGATTTAATTTACCTGTAACTGTCTCGCTATAGACAGATGTGCTTGATGCAGCTTGAGTGCAGCGTCGTGTTCCCCCAACAGTTGGTACACGATGCCCAAGTTCGAACATGCTCGACCTTCCCCAACCTACACATCAGGAAATCATAAGTCAAACGTACCTAAGTAATCAAGCAGAACCCGTTGTAATATCATACAAGTGCGTAGGTGAAGCTAATAATATTACCAGACAGGTGTGAGGACCTTGCCCTTTGTAATTTATTGTCATAATGCAAAAATAGATATAAAACTGTCGCTGTGGCCGTGCTCGTGTTTATGCATACACACAGTTACATCAATAAAAACGTGCCGTACCTTGTCTCTAGCCGCTAAAGCGACGTCCAATTGTCTTTCATGCCATTTCTTAGCCTGTGCGTAATCACCGGCGCACCTGTGAATTCAAGTGCAAATTTTTATAGTCGCCTTAGGATATACATAATAATAATATCTTTGATATTTAAGTTCACATAAATAAAACTTTGGTTAAGCTGTACGATAGTCTATTGTTTTGCAATAATGCATATTTAGCACGAAGACGTTAAAACTGCAATAGTCACTAAACGGTGGAATACAGTTACAGATGACAAGTTCAGGCAAAATATATATTTTAAAATGACAGATGTATCTTTTCTTTTCTATCCTCTCCTTGAGAAAACAATCTTAATTTTGTATAGCGGTCATAAATATTGAAAGTTCTATGGATGTATATCTCATACGTGAACATTACGGAGGGCTTACCTCGCAGCATGTCCCAACCCAGCGTAGGCCCTGGCTTCAATGGCTCTATCACCGAGGTTCTGTGCTATCCTCAGCACGTTCTCATGGTACGCGATAGCTTGTGAGAAGTTTCTTCTGTAGTGGTATGATGATCCTAAGTTGGAGTATGCTCTTGCTTCTTCAACCTAAAATTGAATGTTGCTATCAGATCAAGATCCTCCAAAAATAGGAAATCAATGTTTGAAATCTAGTTCATACCTGATCTCCAAGTCTTCTGGCCAGTCTCAAATGTTGCGTATGACAGTCTACAGCGGAGTCAAACTCCCCCATAGCCAAGTACACTGCTCCTACGTTTCCTATCTCTCTTGCTTCCTGTAGCCGGTCTCCCATTTGTTTAACCAACTGAACACATTGCTTGTGACTAGCTAATGCATTAGGATAGTCCCCTATTGCAGTGTAGACGTGACCTAGTGACGTTAAAGCTGCCGCTGCTGCTTGTGTGTCCTGAGAATAATAAAAAGGTTATACATTTTTTGCTGCGTATTTACTAACTACTTACTAAATAGAAACTTGAGAGCAAAAGGTATAGAAGATAAACCAGTAACTACCTAATACAAGTGAATGTATTATTCAGAAGCCACCGATATTCCCCTATTAATTACAGTTTGATTGCAATAGACTGAAAGGACGTAAAATTACAAAAAGCCATTACTTAAAGCCCATTACTGACGCTTGCCGAGGATTCATTGCTCTTATACCTCTAGTAACGTAACGTCTTGATCGTCATTTCAATACGCTTCCCTAGTCTTTTTATATAAGCACTAGCACTTACAATAACTTTTTATGGTCCCATACAGCGAATGTTCGCCATACGATATCGTAAATTTCGAGAGGACATTGAATGCGTCCGCGTTCGTCCGACTGTCCAGCTTTATTAGTTTAAGAGGGTATAACATATATTTGTGATAGTTCCAATTCAATGGGTACAAATTTTATGGGTTCGGATTTTATATCTCATTTTTCACATGTAATGTAGGCAGGAACACGCGAATGCAAATGCGGCGACATTCCACGTCATATGAACGACTTATTTATGTGGTTTAGTGGTAATTATGTAACGAGTGTAATGTAGTGTCGCGTGAAGCTTGATGCTTGATGTTATCAATACGGTGCACAATATATTACCGGCTCCTATCTACATCTCTCTGGACATGGTTTCTTCTTAATTTACACGCATCGCAACTTATGTTGCTGTTAAGTTATTTAAGGTCATGAATATTATAACAGCTTGAAGCTTGCAGAGGTTTCTTTTAATAAATTAGGTAATATATTTCATTTAAGTTCATTATCATTTTTATGAACTAAGTTATATAAATAAACTAAGAAAAACTTCGTATCTGGTTCAACGACGAACAACAACGACAGGTACTTGCTTAATGAGTGAAACTTTTTTAAAACAAAATTAATTTCAAATTAAGAAATGCGAAATAATGGTGTGCATTAATCTTAGCTCCAAAGTAAAGACGTATCTAATCTATATTTGTGACGCGTATCACTGTCATGAGTGTTTAGTATACTTAATTTATAATAAAGCGAGGCATGCGCGAAGCGAAACAAACAGAAATAAAAAGATTAAAAGCAAATAAAGGACCCGTAGAATGCATCGCATCCTTTTCACTGAGGAAGTGAAGAAAAAAAAATAAACTCCGACGACAGACGGAGACCGCCAATAGGGCTTTGTTTTTGAGTAGTGATGTACTACGTCCGGTATCGATATAAATTGTAAGCTATCGGGAACAATAACAATGAAGTAATGTTATTTCACACTTTGGTACGCCGCAGATATTTCCATTGAAAGCTCACCGAGGTACCGCAGGTATCTATGAATGAATGATAATAACGTTTAAACATGAATTACCGTAATAGGAAAAACGGGAGACTAGTTGACTTTATAGAGTAAAATTTCCTTAGCTTCAGGAATACTGCTTTGATATCTCGCAATAAACTTCTACACGATGTTAAATTACTGCAAGATATAGTATTATCGTTGGCGTGCATCGACGGCGACCAACACTAGCGAATAAAGTGGGACGCCCCGCAACAATCTAGCTAATTAAGTATGTGCAACATGATACGATAAAGCGGTGATTTACATACTGACTCCATCTCGTTTGGACGTTTTCCTACAGGGCGAGTAACGAGACGCCGTGTTCCTTGTTACTACGCACTCTATTCATGTGTGCAGGCTCTGTGTCACTCTGCCTGTCTGTGTCACTGTCGTCTCTAAAGGCTTTTATAAATAATACTCGAATGAGACGTACGTTTATCAAGCTTTATTATTTTCTTTTGTGTGCCTTGTTTCTTTGGATTATTCGTACGTACAATAAACATTCCTGTGTGAACTATGATGCGTATAAATCGGCAGAGGTATCGTACTTTATATCTCTGTGATTCATGACTGGTGCTTGCCTTGTTATATGTTTTAGCAAATGGTTACGTTTTTATTTCTAAACTATCTCTGCATATATTAAACACCGATTGAGAGCTAAGGTTGATAGACATAAGTAACTGTTAGAGTTTAGAGGCTAAGCCATCATCAAATGTTAATTTCATTATTGCAATCCCACTTTATGATAATTAACCCACGTGGACCCTTCGTCATGTAAATTGCCTGCCTCATTACAGGAGTTAAGCATAATTACCATTTTCATTGCTACGAAAGAAATATTGTATCATGGTACTCGAATAAATTACAACACGTCTATTTTAATGAAGACTTTAGTTATTAAACGCAGGTACGTGAGATTAAATATAAATGATATTGAACATTTGACACTTAATTTAGTAAGTTTATATCACTTGAAATTTGCATAAAATAACTATGAATAAAACCAACGCTAGCTATGATGTAGATGTGTGTATTTTCTAAGTTGCCAGTAAATTATTTCTAGTGAGCACGGATGGAGATTGAAGATAATATGTAAAACAATCTCTGAAACAAGTAGAAAGAAAATTATGTTGTATACTGCCCATATACTTTGTCAGTGACACGGTATAATGCCAGATAGCATGACCTTTAAACAGTTTTATAATTATGAAGTCGGTAAAAAGCGAAAAGATTTCAAGTTCAAAACAACGAAATTACTCGACCAATAAGAATGAAATTATGCAGTAAGATAGCGTGCAGTCTTATTTCCAAGTATATGATGACTTTAAACTAATTAATAACAAGTTTCATGAATTTTTGTTTTAATACTTTTCTCCGAGATGAAAAGAAACATTTCTTGTTCTTGTATTAATTAAGGAATATAAACAGCTATGGCTGTGGTATCGCAGACTTATCCCGCACAATTTGTATCAGTCAGTATATGATAAAGGGCCGCAAGAGTACAGGCACAGGCAACTTGTCAACACTTGTTTTATTGCATTTATTGTTACTAGGGAACAATGAGAACGTTGCATTTTAATATTCAATACTTATAGGTGCTGTTTTGAGTATTTATTACATCGTTCGTGGATCGTCATCTTCACTATAAATTATAAATATGGAAGATTAGAACTAGAACAAACTAGAATTTAACTTATGAAAGAAACACCAGCCTATTTCAAATGAAATTAAAAAAATGTTTTTAGTTTATTACTGTTACCTAACCTCGCCTGAAACACAGGATGTCCTAGTTCAGGCACCTTATATTGTGAACTTTATATAGCTTTAAGCAATACTGTACATTTCTAGACTATTATGTTTGAAAATAAATTTTATTTATTTTATTTTTTATTTATTTTAGTTTAAAATAACCTACTTAGTTAAGTTGGTAATGAAGTGATCGTGGTTGTCTTACGGCAAATGGTTTTACAACAACGACTCATTATTGATTCTGAATTGCAAAAACTGTTACGTGGCCCAGCAATAGACATTTTACTTACAAATATAAGAAAAACTGTACTATCCGAGACCATGCATTATGCAAGGGTGTAATGTTTACGGAACAGCTAATAATTACCGCAAGGTGGGACAGTAAGACCCGACTCTATGCCATAATTTCATCCAAAACTTACGTCACTTTTGAATTGATAGTCTGACTTTTGAAACAGTCGTGAACAAAATATGATGACTAACCAGAATTTTCTTAAGAAATTCAAGATTCAGAAGACAGAAGGTCAGTTACTTAAGTCGATTGCTTTTGTACCGTTGTGACTGTTCAAAATTAGTAAATAAATGTATCAATATGAAAATAATAAATAAGATATAATCTAATCATTTTTCTGTTATGTAGCATACTGTATAAGTTTATGTAACTAAAGTCAAGCGGCATATAAGATTCCTGTTTTTTATCTATCACAAACTAGCGCATTATGTTAAACTTATCATCTCCACATCGATAAATACTATTTAAAAATTCGTAATCACCTTCGGCGTTAAAGAATTTAGATCTTTATGAATATTCACACCACAATGTAGGTTTAATAATACTCTCAAATAAATTTTTTTATCTTTACGTTTAGTTTGATACGTAAACATTAAGAATACATATGTTGGGTGTTTAGTTTTTTATGAATTCTCGACATACAATCGCGAGCAGCGGTTTTGAGTTCATGAAAAAGTGCACGCAATCACATTTATGTCGAATAAATCAGTACAGTACGACCTTTTGTTAATATTTCAGTTTAAATACTACATCGATAAATGCGTTAACACGAGAACATGCTCGTAAAATCATATTAAGCATTAAACAACTTTTCTTTTTATGGACCATCATGTAGTTTTAATGTTATTTTTATTAAGTCCTTATAAAACATGCAAAGAATCTGCATTTATTTATATCAGTTACAAGGTACACGTTGGTTTAGTTCGAAGCAATAATGGTTGTAAAGATTGTAGCTCTGATACATTGCTAAGTCATCGCATATAAATTCTGTGTCCAGTTCCTTTCAGCGACTTTTACACGATGCATTAGAATTGTGCGCTTGTTTTACTTGCATCCCTGGATCTGTATTCTTACAACAAAACGAAAAAATAAACATTTTAAATGTGTTTATTTTATTATCTTTTACTATGCAATTACACTATTATCTTGTCTTCGTGAGCTTTGGATGTCTGAGCTAACTTTAGAGCAGATAAAATAAGGCATGTTCTTCGTAAAATCGATAAAAGATCAAGAACCAAACATTGCGTTATCAAATAAATTATCAATAAAAGATTAGTCCATATTTTGGTCTTTAAAACTTGAAACTATTCAACCTACGCAAGCCTTTCCACTATCTCGCGCACATTTTCGGAATAGCCAGTCCTCGGCTCATCGCAGCTACAATCAGCCTTTATTAACAATTAATTAAAAACGTTAAACGTTTGACCGAGCAATTGGAACGCGTAGCCGCGAGATAGCACCTGCCTGCGACGGGTTATCCACGGCATCCGCTAATGAAGCCGGCTAGTCCACCTCACATGTTACTGTCAAATTATTCGCGGTATACGTATGGCACTGCGAAACATCGTGTGTAAGCCGCCTGTAATCTATGTGAAATAAAACCTGACCGAGGTCTATTTTAAACGCGCCTAATAGTTTTTAAAAGATAGCTTTAATGTTTTGTATTTTTTTTCAGGGATCTCACGATATGTTGGTTACTTGCGACGATTCTTGCATTTCAGTAGAACGGAATATGTGTGGTAATAAATGTGGTGCAAAATAAAATTCGTAGTGACGTTCTTCGCAAGTTATCGCTGTTGTCGATTGTACTTTTCAATAATTGACGCGGCTGTTAGATATGTGCTGACTAGTTCGATAACGCCGGTCAAGCCGGACTGTCAAGTGACATCCGTCTTTTGAAATCGGCTTTTTCTTGGAACCTAAGATTAAATCAGGCAATTAATCCAATACAATTAAACATTATTTTAGTAGTTACCTGTGTAGCTGTCGTGAACGCAACATGAATGAAGATATAGGTACTTACTGCACGTTACAAGATAAAACAATTTGGCCATAAATAAAATAAAATTGACCGTTGTGCATTGCAGGGCGCTGTCGGTAGGTACAGTCCCCGCAATCATTTAAACTTTTAAAGCATGCTCACACGATAATTCTTTTGATTGTGATCGCGGCGAGGCTGCGTCCACTTCACTTTGTCATGTAATTATTATTCGCCCATTCTCGGATTACTCGCGAGTGAATTCCTGTGTTGCCAGTATTTCGCGGTTATTTTAAATCGACTTGCGAGTTTTTCTTGTGTAGCATTCGAGCAGAACGCGCAAAGTAAATAATTTTTTACGACTATTTGTTCGTCAGATTGTTTCACAAGTGGACGCAATGATTGCTCGCCTTTAAAATGAGAATAAGAGAAGTAACACACATTTATGGAAAGGATATTTACGTATTGTATGAGGCCGAAGTAATTAAAGCTAGTGGGTTTTTGCACTAAATGTGTAAAATGAAGAACTATAAAGTATTGTCGCAACGGCTTAGAAAAGACGGAATACACTTATTAGTCCCGTTTTACGATTGCGTTGAAGCAATACTTGTGAACTAAAATATAAATAAGTTGCTAGAACTAAACTCGTGACGTCTCTGTACACTTGAAGTTGAAATATCTTACTCGGTCGTTATGTAGGTTTTATAATGTTGATAAATTTCCACTTGCGCTATTACGTAATGAAATCACCAATTATCTTTGGTTCGATAAGATTTTTCTTAGTATATACTTAGAACCATTATTATCTTCCCTCAGGATATTCTATACAAAACATATGGAAAACTTTATAGAAAGTAGGTTCATAGGTAATAGCAAACGCAATTTGCTATTATCTCATATAAGGTCACTTTCTTTAAGCCAGAATTAAGTCGAATAGAGAAAAATTGCTTCTCTGGGAGCTTCATTTATGCGTGTCCTATTAAGACTGGGCTACAATTTCAAAGTACAATATTCCAAGAACATTGGATTAATCGTAGTGGAAGATAAGTGTCACTGCGAACGTTGAGTCGCGTCCTTGTCGCCGGCACACGTCAGGCTCTTTACTGCAAATTAGCATCACTACGTGTGCGGCTCGCGGCGACCATCAAAGGCATCAATAAAAAGGGAACTTTACTATTTGTAGGGTTTCTTTTAAAGTGTAATACGGTTGCTGGGTCTTAACTGTGGGCAACGAAAGTGATTCCTACGGTACGCTCCTCCTATAGCTAGTTTTATATACCTAGGTAGTTTATAAAACGATTACGCCGCCATGCCATGACATATCACTTAGTACTTTTTTATAATTTATGTGCTGTTTCAGAACAGACAGGCGAGGCTTTAATTAAGATGTAATTTATGTCAGTGGAATTAATAGCTATAAAGCATTTAGACTAATTAGATCTATTTTTTAGAGACTCTGAATGTTGTTCCAATTCATCTAAATAATGACTACCTAAGATACCACTTTTTTGTCTGTTTCAATAATTCAGTTGCTGCTTTTTATAATTAACACATTAAAAGCCACTGGGGTCACCGTTGAACGACGTTAGCGGAGGTTTTGCTTTCAAAAGTTTTCTATTGGTTTGGTAGTCAAAACCTTAAGATAGGTAGTTCACATTTTCAAATAATGCGAAAGATTATTATGACTAGCTAAGGTGATACGATACTTATGAAGATTTCCTTCAGTAAACACTTTAATTTAAGGATAGATGAGAGTGCTAACAATGGAACAGAGCTATAAATAATAAACCGTCATCAAGCTGGAGCGGAGTGCATAGTAAAAATTAAATTAACTTTTTACAACTACAGCTCGCGTAAACCGCGCAAGTTATTATTGCGACTGAGAAGTCGAGAACATTTGTTATTTCATTTGTAAAAGGAGAAATCAAACGGTTTACTACCATTCTTTATGTAAATATTCCATTGTGAACGTTGCACGTATATTGGTGAACGCTTGGGAACACAGAGCGCCCTCTGCCGTTCGTATTGAGCGATTTGTTATACTACCTACATTTGCGTGAGTTCAGGCTGACGGGCTCCGGTTGAATGGAACGTTATTGTATGAATTGTCTTTCGAGTAGCAGCCCTATTCTTATGTAATGACATAATTTGTGGGCCAAGATCAGTTATGCAGCGCTATAGGCTGGCAGGCATAAACACAAAACGCTTGATATATTTGCAGAAATAAATAGGGCAAAGCTAAGCAGTGTTTGTTTAATAGTTTTAAATTGATATTTCACGATCGCTGTTCATGTTATTTCTAAAACAATGGCACGGAAATAACTTATCTTGATATCTCCATTAGTTTGGTTTTGTCGTCCTAATAGATGCAGACAGCTGTGGATTAACTAGTCTCTACATTTCTTATCCCAAAATTTGCCACGAAGCATAAATAAAATTAAATATTGGTTTGTTCAGCCTCTGTCCGTTCAGTAGTTAACGACATTCTAATATTAGGTCAATTATACTCACTTTGCACTTCATAGCCAACACCAGCTGGTATCGATGCGCCGTCAGAGCGTCTTTATAGGAGCCCTGGCTGAAGTACGCAGCGCCAAGGTTGCCATGCGCTCGACACTCTCCTGCAGTGTCACCCAGAGACTTAGCTACTGCCAGGTCTTGTTGCATGTAGTTAATGGCTGCATCAAGCTGGCTGAGCGCCCAGTGCGCCGATGAAAGAGCACTGAAGACTGAACCCCTGTAAAAAATGAAGAGAATTAAAGGAAAGTCCAGTTCAATGTTCTTTGAAGACTTCTAGACACGATTTTTTTTGGTCTCGTACTATTTGTAGTACTTTATTACTTTGATTAGAGGTAGGGTTTGTGGATCAATCTAAGGCGTTTAGTAAGACTCATTTTTAATAAAAAGGCCATACTAAAAATGCACTTAAAATGATCACACTTATTGCTTAGAACAGTATATGAACAAGAAAGAGACAAGAGATACAGAAAGACTTCGCCTTTAACCAGAAAAGCTCGTGTGTACACACCATTAAACTGAAATTGGTACAGACATTTCAATCTAAAACATAAACACTTCCTTACTCAGGAATAGGTATTTATATAGCGCTGAAATAGAGCTAAACGTTGCACATGCTATTGCAATTTTCACATAAATTCTGACACACAGGTCATACTTCCTGCCACCTAATAACACAATACAACTGGTTTATGCTGCAGTTTAACGTACTAGGAGACGTCGTAAACTGACTACGTACTTGAGAACAACGTTTCTCACAGGAAGTCAAAAGTCAAGTAGACATCGTAAGTAGATAAATGTCCTGTGTGCAGCATGGACCAACATCATACTTCCGTGACAGAAGAGAAAAATATTTTATTTTACGCCGTGTAAAGGTAACAGGAAAATAGACATAATATATATCTGAAAAATTATATGATGATAGATTGTATATTATTGAGATTTACATTTAAAACCCTATAGTATAGGGTTTAGGGGGTTGTATGTCATACGTAAATTAACGTATAGGGCCTATACATTAATTTACGTATGACATACGACTTATCTTGAAACAAATTTAATTCTGAGTGCTGAGCTATCATTGAGTTCAACAGACCCATCGCTCTTGCTCTTTTGTACATATAAGTACGAATGTATGCAAAAAAACAACACCGACTTCTCGGTCTATACGAATAAATGTGAATAGAATAATACAGTTCTTCTCTGTTTTGCAAAATTAAACCATCAATCCTTTCACATTCCTCACGAGTAAATATTCAAGATTTAGAACACCTAGTGTTGATTTGCAGTTAAAAGGCCATAAACGATTGAAAGCCAATATAAACCGAAGTACCTATATAGCTACCAGCTACAAATGACTATTATAATTAGTTTTGTTCCATCAAACACTGCGGCTACTTAAACATAATTACGATTTCAAAGAGCTACTAAACCAAGAAGGATTTTTCTCAGTTTCTAAAGTGGTATAATTAAAGGAACATCTTTATTTACACAGACCATCAATAACTTTGAGCTCTCAGTTCAAAAGAGACGGTGTCCGTGTCTAAAGAAAAGCAATTACTCTAGAACACACGGAAATTGACGCAGATTTTGAACTCGTACTTCAGGAATGTTCTTAGAATTATTTAGTATCATATGACAATAACTAGAATAACTTTACCCTTCAAGTAACGCCATATTCGAATGTTAAAAACTTCTAAAGAATGTAGGCTTATTTAATCGTTTTGTTATAAACGTCTGCCTATTTCTCGTCAGCACAAAGAAAACGGTTTTCTGTTAACGCAATCATAAATACGTAAGCATGTGCCTAATGTACTGCATTTTGCATTGTTAAAGGAAATAAGCATAGTATGCGAAACTAGGCAAGCTATGAATGTTTATAATATTCCACTTAAAGTGAAATCAGAACGTCCGTTTTCAATAAGAGCTCGGTTAGAAAGCAACGACTGGTTTCATGAATTGAAAACTAATATTTAGGTCGGTAAGTACAGATGACTCTAATGTAGAGGAGCCTCGGAAGTCGATAACATTAAGTCTAATTTCAGTAATATTTTACGAGCAGCTCCAGTGGCAGGGAGTTAACAAGTTGCCGCCTGTACGGTTTTATTAGGCGTAATAATTACCCATCGCTCTACTCACATTTACAAGGAAGAACATTCCATAGCTCTTTTTCAACCTAAGCACTTCGACCTAAGCACGTAACAATTATAATAATGGCCGCGTTTTGCGTACGTAAAACGTAAAACCTGACGACTTTATAATTAGCTTGAGGAACAAGCAACAAACTAAATGTTCACACGTCCGGTTTTTCAAGCCTGCTCGTTCTTAAATAGCTCGTGTGAAACCGATTAAAATAATCTGAGATAAATATTTTAATTTGTGATGAAGGTAATGAATCACATTGCTCGATGTAATTTGACATCACACTTTTACACCTCAACATGCATCGATCCTGCGTTGGCGTATTCTGTTAATCGATTAGGACGTATCCGCCCGTTCTGATCGAATCACTCGCTTCCCGTAATAGCATTATCTTGAGCCTTGCTCAGCCGATGGCGGCATTCTTAACTATTTTAGTTGGTTCTAGGAACTAAGATTACGTGCTCGCGAGCAGTTGGCTAGTTTATGCCTACACTTAATATACTAAGTTAAAGTACTAACACTCTACAAGATTGGACATAACTAAGTTATGGGTAAGCTACTAAGATTCCTGATTTGAAACATAATAAAGACGTTCCCGTAATGTTCTTGTTAAAATATCGGCTTCGTAGTAATGTTGTCACACCATAAAATAATGTAAAACACATTTATATGGAAGTCAAGGTAATTTTTCTCGACCATTGCACCCGGGAGGTCGTTGAGAAGAAATATTTATGTTAATATATCAATAAAAGTGGTCAGTGTATTCATTATTTCACCTTTTCCAAAGTATTATCCCATTTAATCTCATCATCTGTCAACAGAGATCATCTCGATAAGGATCGCGTATAACAATTCTTATTTATATCGAGTAAAGTTTTATCGTGGAGCGAACAGAATAGTCCCGTATCGATCCAGCTTCGATCCATCAACGCAGAGATAAGATCGCGCCGAGGTGTGGGTTTCAACGCGCCGGGGACGCTTCAACGCTTAAGTCGACAATTTTGGGACGGGAAGAGTTACTTAATGTCTTCCAAGTGTATAGAGATGGAGCTTATTCAATCAATGTCTTCGACTGGAAACGTGTTTAAATAAATTTAACTGTAGAATTAGGTGTATCAGGCGCACGTACACAGCCTGTTACAATTACGTTACGTTCCAATTTTGAGCTCGTTATGCAGGAATTTATACACAGAAGTCATCGTAAAAGTTTTTATTTATTTATTATAGCGATGATCGTCATCGTTTCTGTTATAAAATCCCTGTGTAGCTACCCTACTTAATGGTGTTCCTGTCGTTATTCGCTTCCAGCAACATATTTACGTACTATTTATTTTCTAAATGTTGATTAGCTTCGAACGTCTGCATTATTGCAACATTGTATACTGTCAGTTCTGCAATACTTAATAAAGTAATTATATACTTCCATATATAATCCAGTTTACTCCATTTAGCGGTAACTTTACAAAGTCTGATGTAAGTATTAATGAAAATTCCAATTAATTAATCCAAGTTCAACTATACAGTCTGAACCATAGAACAATCCACATCGCTATTAGCATTAAACCAACTGGACATACTTAATATAATCTATTATCAGAAAACAATTACGTTGCTTGTTAAAATATACATTAACGCTCTCTCTATTATATTCATCGAAGTAATTCAATGGAAATTCCTTAGACACGACATGAACACGACTATAGACTCAACTTAAAACATGGTACTTCCCTGCAGGTTTAGATTCTGTGCGTAAATTATGAATATAAACTATTACGGTCCTGTGGTTTCACCTGCATGATTTGATCTTAAGTCTAGTACCTATGATATGGCTTTAAGAATTTGATTGGTTCCAAAGATTGTAACGAGAAAACAAACGCATTGATCAGGTTTATTATATTAGTTTAGAACTTTAGATGAAGCGATAGTATTTCTCGTACGGCAAATACTCGAGACTATAGCTGAAGGTCATTAACGGTGGTTTAAATAGCGTCATAAATATAAACCTCAGTCCAGTTGAGGGTGCGTTCACATACAGCGTTCCTACTAGCTATCGAAGTTGATTGAAACTGAATGTTTAAGACTTGGTTTTAAAGTGACTGAAATTGGTTTTACATTCATTTGAAAGTAAGTGATGAAAAAATCTGTATTTTCAGCGAATTGTAACGATTTATTTACATTCATTTTCAGCCCAAAAAGGTTCTAAAAACAAAAGAGGACGGTGTGAACCGACCACAGATTATTTCGGAGACATTGTAACTTGATCTGACATAATTCGATGTTCAGTGAATTTTGGTAAGTAATTAATGAAGTGTAACATGCATCGTATACATATGTGAAGCAGGTATCTTCATTATCTATGGAACAAAACATCACGCTTGATTTCCTCAGAGTAAGAGTTTACTTTAAAAAATATTATTACATAGATACATATGACGTTGTATGTGAGGTGAGTTTTATTGTTGTAGTGACAGCAAAGTCATACAAGAAAATGATATTTTTATAGTTCAGTTTTAAAATTTTTATGTACTACAGGCAGACAAGACACTGGAAAAATGGTTCTATATGGGTAAAAACTTAATGGCTAATATTATTATCCAGGCGTTTGTAGGAGGACTTTTGAGACAAGTACCCCTTTTCTGACATGTTTATGTTAAAAGCTACGCAATCGAATTATGTTAAGATTTGTTATGATGTAATGGAAATTGGAAAATAAATAAGTAAATATAAATCTTCGTACTTATTAGTATACAACTGTACATACAGGACCATATTACATCCTTTTTGCAGGATAAGCAGAGCGAAGCGTAATGTGTGCTATTGCTAACATCCTGTGAATTGCATCTATGAATATTTATTCTATTTATTTTTTGTTTACATACCTTCTGCTAGTAATTATTTATGCTAAGTAGGTACTGGTGGTCGTGGTCCTGTTTTAAAGATCGATTCGCAATACCCGGTCAATGTAACGATGATACTTTAAATACAAAATGTAACGATGTTATGAAACAACTTTTACTTTTTTGTGAATATAAGTTTCCAAAGTTTCCGATGTAAGTGAAAGTGTTATTAATAAAAAGCAAACTTTGCAAAAGCTTTTTATTAATAACACTTTACTGTGGCTTCGTACTTATTATTGACATTAAAATATTGCATTTTAGTCGTATAAATTCTTCTATAAATCTGCTCAATACTTTTAAAAATTACCGTGAAATGTCTAACCGGTTACTAATTTAGTCCATTCATCTTTACACGTTTTTTTTATAGTACTCAATATAGTTACGAAGGATCCCAAAATCTGCAGACAGCAATTGCAAGATATATAAACCGCGTCCTCCCACTGCCAAATTGGGATCAGTAAATAAGGGTACCAATGTTTTCATTTTCGGAGAACACGGCCGCGAAAACATTGCCTTTCAACTCTTTAATTATAAAACGCGGGAGAATTTCGCGAAGACATAAAATGAAATATTAAGTGCAGTATCCCACGGAAGAGTTAACGTATGCACGGCATAGCACTGTAACTGCACGTATAAGGACTATTGGGCTCCATTAATTAGAGGGCCGTTATTAAAACGCAACACCGTATATCCCGTTCAAAATTTACGACGTCTTTATTTCCCCGACACTCGAACATTATAAATCAAAACGTCGAAATTCCGCCAAAGATAACCGTTCCCCTTAAGTATATATAAATTATCCCACTGTCAACTCGTTACGTACTGGTTGTGATTAAAAATAATATTGTTACGGGTAATGAACGGAGAGGAGAGATTCGCTCAGTCATTTGTCTTGTTCTTATTAACAGTTTGAGCGGTGTTAATGGTGTGAAATTGTTGTAAAGGGATTATCATCGACACCTTAATGCGAAAATGAACGGATTGATTTCTTTTTTACAGACAGTAGACACTCTGTATTCGTGAACTCAGGGTGTGTAAAATACGTACGTGCAATATGTACGTGTCTCTGATTGGTGCAATTAGTTTGCAATTTCATCGAACACAATCGATATAATTCGTCAGTTCAGATGGTATCTGTTTCCGAATGTGGTATTGGTGTGAACTTACGATTGCAGTGGTCAAAGATTCATAATTTTAACAACCTTTATTCGTAATTCCGTTCAATTTTCTCTCGACTTATTGATATTTTCATTGTTCCTGGAATACATAAGTGCATGTTCAGTAATTACGTATATTTTAATTTATAAACTTTAATATACTTAAATTATAATACGTAATTAGGCATATTTAAATCTAACTTGTTGCTAATCGATGACTATTTTAAAATATTTTTTAAATGTGTGTTTTAAATGTCGTCGATTTATGTTTCTATTGCCATGGAGTGTTATCATATTCAACTATTCATAAAAATATCTATGAAAATATTTCCGACGACTCCATGTACGAATATTAAAATTTTTATGTACCTTCTTAAAACATTTTTATTTGCATGGATAAAGATGATTGAGAACAAACTATCAAATTATATTCTAGAAAAATATTTACCTGTCTTCATAGAGGTATTTTCAATTGTTTGTGATCTCGCCTTATCTATTCAAATTAATCAAGAAAATTCCTAGGCGGTCTTCTTGTAAAGATTGCTAGGATATCTAGCATTTAACTTATGTAAATATTTACATTATTAAAGGTACGTTTCAATAACTGGTTTTATTATTAGTTTTTCATGGCAATTAATAAAGGTATGTATAAATTTTAAATTAATAATTTATTACTATATAGGTATGGTATCGGATACATGTACTTAGAGATCAAAGGATCGATTGATTCAATCGGCATGAATTGGAAAAAAATAAAATACTTGGAAAACCGCTAAATTGAAAAACAGTTTTGAAGATCTACAAATACACAGAACATCAATTTGATAAAAAAGACTGTAATTTTCTGAGAGTTCATACGTCACTTAAAACACTGTTTATCTCCGAAATGGAAAGGGTAAAACAATATAAAGTAAGTATGTTAGCGAAAAAGCAATTCAGCGATAAATAAAAGTTTTCTTTTAAGAGCAACGGAAATGACACATATCGGGTGATGGTGACACAGGACTAGTCGTCGCCTAATATTGCACTGAAATTGAAAGTACACGTCGAACAACCATCGTAAAAGGCAGTTGCGGCGTCGCACCGCCTCAGCATAGACGTACGTCTTCCGAATAAGGCGCTAAAGTTACTCGTAAAAATGTTAATAGGTACAACTTAACTAGTTTATAGAAATATGTTGATTGGCAACAGTCTACGAGAGCTAGGTTACCCAGCACTTTCATTATTCCCTAGTTTAAGCCAGGAGATGCTATTTTGTTTTTATGGAAAATCTCCTTTTAAAGGTGCTAATGGTCTTTTCATGCTGTTTAGAAATGAAGATGATCTCTTTTCGTAGTAATAATCTATTTACTTACAGGTATCTATCTAGTATCACTTAGTTGAGACTTTTAAGGCCATGGGCTTCATGGGCCACTATTGAAGTGAATTTAATTCGGGAAATCATCAAAAGCAGATTTGGTATATGGTTATAATCCGACTTCCTTTTAAATTAGATCAATAAATAATTGGTGGATCTGCAAATCTTCATCAATATTTAAAGGATAAAACTAGTAAAGACTAATATAATACTTAAGATTTGAAGTAAAATCTACGTTACCGCATCCATAAACCGACATTCGTTTCATACGTTTGGTGGCGCTCCATTAGTCATCGACTTAAAACTTGATTTACTTGTGCACATTAATTTCTGGAGCTTAAAAACTTACATTATCTTCAGTTTTATTACGCAAACAATAAAACTGTTCGAGCTTGAATACTTGAGGGCGTTTATAATCGGGTAAGTAATGAAAGGTTCATTGTCATCACAGAGGTCGTAGAGTTTAGGGACCCAAGAATCAACTACAGTCTATGTTAAGACGGATCGGTCCGAGTATTTCCGACTACTCCTAAAGGTTCATGGAGGTCACTTATTTATAGGGAAAAGACAATGCTGGTCTATTACTTCATTCTTTTACCATCAACTTCTAGTAGAAATTTAGACCCAGGCTTCAACGATGTTACGATAAAAGTTTTCATCGATCTGTTCTCTTAAGTCTTAGTTTTTAAACACTACTTACCGTAGTTTGAGGGAGCATGATCCGATCCTCAGCGCTGCTTCCAATACAGTTACTGCCGCTTGGTATTGTCCAGCTGCCAGCAACTCTTGACCGACCACCTAAAGACAAATATTTCATTTAGGATTTTATTAACGAGAAACTAATCGAATTGGTGGTAATTTTTCATTATCCTCCCTATTTGTAGCAGGATTATGGCTTTTTGTTTTTTTTCATAGAAGAAGTGCTGTTAATGACGTTTCATAGTGTTACGTTTGTTACCAGAAAATCAGGTTCTAATCTCTATCTGAATTGATAAAGTCCATTTTGTGAAGCTTCTGAATCACATACTGACTCCGACTCATATCGGCGCTCTTGATCTTACATTTGATGTCATTTACTTCTTAAGTCGGGTATAATAATAAACTAATGTATGTACAAAAATGCGAATTTGAGTATCATTGGCGGCTACAAAAACCGCGACGAATTTTTAAGAACCCATTAAGCTTGCGGTTACGATGGCTGCATGAACATTTAACTCAATGATTTGTACTTAGCTGTCTGTATGAAGCAATATAATATCGTATCAAAGGAACACCCAAGGAGGGAGATTTGGATTAGGAACATTCCCCAGATGTAAGAATAAAATTGCAGCTGCATGGTAAGAATAACGCCATAATCAGTTTTAAGTACGTATTACTCATAAGTAATTAAGAGTAATATCCAATGCTCGTATTATATTTCTTCGCCCGAAAATCTGAATTGTACCCCTACTGACAACTACTGCACTGACATTGACCAGGTAGTCTCGTACTTAGAAAATGTAGATTGCAGCTATCAAGATCCAGTTTTATGTAGTACGGGTATTCAATTGGAGTTCTTGATTATTTGACATTTTGACTTCGTTCAGCACTTACTAAAACATCCTAATAATTTTCATCGTTTTATGGCGAGATTAGGAAAGCGCTTGACTTGTTAATGTGCAACAAAGTACATAATCGAGTGCCGACACTATTTCATTATCACAGTGTTTAAATCGCTTCAATTACGGGTTTCAGTTCAATTCTGAACATTGTATGCGCGACGCGGCGGCCATTTTGTGGTAGTTCGACGCCATTTCGGCCATTCACGTCTGGGCTGCCGATCAACTGTCGCGCAGATTGTATGTAAATTCACGGGGGTCGGTCGCGTATTTATGGGCCTTTGATCACTCAGCCCCATTGTCTGAGAGTTAAATGCGCCGAAAAATGTTCAGATGTCGCCCGACTGCACGCCAGCGGAATGTATGCAAATAGTCCGCTCGCTCGGTCTGTGTATGGGGTGCTTAATATTGCCAACATCGACGAGTCCTAAATGTGCCATTATTTGTATAATGATACGATTGTATTTGCGTAATGTGGTTTTCTTTTAATATGTCACTTAGTGTATACGTGCGAATCGTGTTAATGTTTTAGTCTCATTCACGATTGAAGTTAATCTTTAGGTGACTTTACTGTTACCTCTTTTGGAAAGGGTAATCACTGCCTTCGCTTAAAGTATGCCAAACGTGTGGTTTGTGAAATAGTATCTGCTTTATGTATGTTCACGATTTTTGTGTATTCTTATTCTTATAAATATGTCCAGTGGGTACGAAATGAAAACGTCCTCTATAGGTCAGTGTTTTATGTAAATCTTAGCTCCTGTCGTCATGTCTCCGTCAGACCTGAGACAACGACTGACAATGCACATATTTCCGGAGGTACGTTAATGGATCGCATTATTTTGGGTTCGAGACTTTGAAAGCTGCAAGCTATTGGTATATAGGTACTGTTTATTCTGTCGGGACAGGCATCCTTAGAGAAAAGGCATTTTATGGCGTATTTTTCTTAACGTTTGTAGTAAACCCACAAGAGAGCTATAAGACATTAATTTAACATTGTTAGAATCGTATAACTATTGAATAATATTTTTATATTGTACTCGTATTTCGACTTCCTTCATTGAAAAGATTTAGAGAACAATATTTTTCTTGTTGGTTTGTTTTAGTACCTACAGCCATTTCGGGTGCAATTATTCGTTTGCCTCTAAAAAGGTAACATGTAATAAGATGTCTTTAGCAATGATACATTGGCTCGTATACTACCTTCTTTATTAGGAATTGATACAATGTAAATTGTCAATTTAACGGAAAATACTAAAAATAAAAATAAGACGATGTTTTTACCGATTTCACGATTTCTTATTGCAATGGTATCTTTGTGTCTCCAAAATCTAAACATTGTTAATTAATGTCTACATTTATTGCCAGTAAGTACTGTTTGTGAGTTCAAATACATAATATGTCTTTTACGACATAACAATAGTCACGGATCGTTCACCTAAAACATTTTACCCCATCTCGGATCCACTTACAAGGTCTTAGCTGTTGCCTTTCCACCACTACGTCAATTATAATTTGACAACTAAACCTAGCCAAATAAATATTATATTCCATTTGAAGTACACAAACAAACCCAATATATAGTGGGAGGATGGACATTTACTCGGGTTAAGTACGACTACGCAACACTTTAACGCGTCACCGGAGACCCGTACGTTAACATACAAAATGGTTCGTTTGCGTCACTGCAACTTGCAAACATGCATTTATTTGCGATAATCCTAAATAATCCTACACTATACTTAAATTTACACAGTAATGTTAAGACGATACTCATGTTAACACGTTTAATCCTTTCAATTTTGCTATTCCCAGGCCAAGAGGAGTGAACCTAGACTTTTGAAAGGCGACATTTAATTATACAGGATTAAACTTTAGGCAAGATATTGTTACATGATTATTAATACAATGTACATAATGTCTGTGCCTGCATAGGTCATCAGAAGCGCCATTTATGAGTTGGAATGGTGACTCATACTTCATTCTTGTTGCTTTGCGTATTACGGGGCACAAAATAGGGTACCTAATAGAAGTGCTGACCACATGCAAGAGAAGTGGATTTGTTAAAAGATAAAGTGTTTTTTCTGAAGGAACCGTTTGATTATAGCGCTTTTAATTTTATGAACTTATCATGTTATTATATTTTATGTTAGGTAAGTAAACTAAAGTTCTTTTCTTGGCTTATAGACAACGATTCTTCATTTTCTTAACATAACAGTTTCTAATAGAATGGTAGACGATGGTACAAGTGTGATAAATACCATATACATACATAGTTTCTATTTTAACAGATATTTTACGCTGGCCATGCTATTTAGGCCCCGAGTGAAACGCGACTGAGCCGTGGGAATCTATGTCTTTGCCGTGTTAGACACATGCCACCATTGTAGGTACTTAATTTGGTTGTTACCTTTTAATGGTGTAATAAAACTTGCGTTAAATGGTCTTATATAATTAGGTACTAGACAAATGTGCGTTGCAATGTGAAGTTCTGTGTGAAACTACTCTTACTGCAATTACGCAATATTACAACAGCGAGTTAGTAAAAGCACATCATATTTTAAGAACAAATAATTAATTATTATGAACGATTCCCTCGTCAAACAGCAACGTGAGTATGTCGAAGACATTATAATTATTTTAGTATGTCTCTCGAAAGTTGTAATATAAACAAGTTCCTAATATTTTGTATTAAAATTTAATCAAGATAGATGAGAGAACTAATAAGCAATACTAACAATAGTTGTCTATATATGAATGTATGTGTATATGAGACATCCACTATTTCTACAGATATAAATGGGGTATCGAGGCAGATATCCTTTGAGTTGCAGAAAGTGCTGGTGTCCGTCCAAAATTATTGGTGTGAGTGCCAGACAAGTAAAAATTAATTAGTGGTCTTGTGCAAGCGACACTTAACTTTATGGCAATAAAATAATTTTACGATCGTTCGAACATTTAAGTGGATAAAGATTTATGTAAGAAATCGTGATTTTCAACGGAAATCTGTAGAGATATGTATATTGTGGGTACCTAATCTACTTTCTTGGATGTATGTGAGCTTTCACAATAAGTCCTAGATATGAGATACAAGAAATATTAATGTAAATCGAATATTAAACAAATATTGTGGCTATAATAAAGGCTATCAAATAATGTAAAGTGCCTTTTCCTTCTCAGATATATGGGTAATGATCACCAACACTTATTATTGCATCGGATTTAAACTATGTATATATTTTTTGTTTCGATTTCAGGTTCCATATAGAAAATCGACGTGCATGTGCTGGTTTGGTCGTACTCACCTACGGATGGGTATAGGATGGGGTGTATACATATTTATATACAGGATCTAATACCCAAATGAGACAGTCCATTAAATTTACGTAAAATGAATGCGAGGGTGCAACACGAAGATTCGTGTATCACTGGCAGGCTCAACACTATTCTTACAACATTATTAACATAATGCCATCGCGATAACGAATGAAATTGCATTCGGTTTATTTAGAAGGGCTCCCGACTTGAGAATCTGCATTTAGGTACCTACTTGGTTCTTTTAATTATGTCTGCTCGTCTTCACTGCTTAAACTTTAACATTATATTGATGATGTTGTGAAATTGTTCTTTGAAGGATATATTGGGCTTTTTTGATTGAGTGATGAATTTGGTAAGCTGTTGCTATTCGAGTGTATTCAGTGAGCTGGATAGTAAAATAATCCACAGACACTTAAAAGATCTCGAACATTATTTTATAACGTTTAAAATAATGTTCGAGGTCTTTTCACTAAAATTCGGAATATAAAGGGGATGATGTGTGTTATCTGGTCGAAATAACACTTAATTCGTTCCAATAATAGTAAATAGGTAATTAGATCAAATGGTAATGGATCTTCTGTTGCTTAAAAAAATACATATAAATAATTTTTATTATTACGGCAGTAAGTTAGTGAATTCTGTCTAGTAGCTACTGGCCTTGACCATAAACTCAAATCTTACCGATATTAGAACGAAAGGCGATTGGTCCAGTTTCATAGCTTCCAGCTGTCTAAAAGTAGGCTCTAGGGTTGTCCGTAGCGGTGACTTCAGGGAGGCCTCAACCAGAGCTGCCAACAATTGCCTTGAAGATGGTTCCACTCCCAACCCTGAACTGAAGGCTGCAAGCGCTTCGCCATGACGACCTAAACATTGTAGCGCCACCCCTAAGAAATAAATAAAATGTTAATAAAACAAAACATAAGGCATATTCACTAAACGTAGGTATATTTTCTTTTTGGCGTATTTTATCTCTACGTTAATTTTCCTTTTACATAACATGAAGTGTTAATTTTTTTTGCATAATCGAATTAAAGAATGTTAATTTCAACAGTGCATGGGAAATTTAATTTGTTTGTTTACCTATTGTTTTATGAAAGTAGGTACCCCTATAATTTTCACGTGTCAAACAAACTATGTAACTAACTCTTCTTTTCATGTTATATGTGTATTTCTATATGATAATACCTAGTCTATACTTTACCGTAACGTAGTGAATTCTTTCTTTTCTGCAAACTATATTCGCAAATAACAGTACGTCTCTAATTACTGCACCAACGTTCTTGTTCGATATTCTCTCACCAGCAAATTACATAGCAAACAATAGGATTACTCAATAAATTGATTCGCAATTAGATACCGCTTTCTTTTTGATGCTGTACTATACTAATAACTCTTAAACGAACTGCAATGATAATCCGTTGGATTAGTGATCGCGAATGTGACTTTTTGGTATACAAAATTATAAATATTAATAGACCTGGGTAATTATGGTGGTATTAATGGACCTGGATGGGTGACCTTCGATGATAAGCAAAGTACCCACACACCAGAAAAATCAACTGTGAGGCAGTAACTCGCCGAGGCTTTTGTTTCATAATAATACTTCTATTAGCTAATAAAAATTGGTAGTACTCTATAACTACTATTTCGTCTACCACTCGATATGAACAGGGCTTTACCTCAATTAAAGAGAAATCTAGTGCAGTGGTAGGAAACTTTAGAATACATTACAGTAATAACAAGTGTAAATCAAACAGAACAGCTATCGTAAATATAGCATTGGAAAAGTAGCGAAATTGTCATAATTAAACTTTATTATATGGGTGGCGGGCAGTGACTGGGTATGAAGAGTTGATTTAGATTGAGCTCAATGGATCCTATTGGAGAAGCCGATGGTGCTGATAATATGGATTTCATTTCACTGTACAATATTATTAGGCTTATTTAAGCCAAGAACTTAACCATTTTATCATTCTTATAGACGTGAAAGTTTGTGGTGAATGAATTAATGGCTATAGACAAGACGATTTCATCTCACGGGTGATTGAAGCAAGAATTTGTAATTAGGTACATTGGTAGACAAGGCGGGCAATCAAATAAAATTCGACACCCACATTATCAGTACCATGTCTGTATTCGTATCAGATTCTCCAGTCATACAAATATATATAAAAAAAATGCTGACATCCATTATCATACATTTCGACTCGCAATAATATTGTTCTGAATGAAGAAAATGTAACATCGTAATTGCTGCAATGACAATTTACACATGTATAAACACTTAAGTGGTCAATTTATGTGCAGTATGTCGTTACTTGTCTACATCGGTCACGCTTTTATAGTTAGAAATTGATTGACTATATTAATCACATGAGCATAATGATAAGCAAAGACTAATTTATATTTACATGCAATACTCGTCTTTATTGGATTAGGATTTTACAATTTTTAGCTGATGATAGCATCAGGACCACCCCACTGAAATGAGTCTAGTTCCATTTTACTTAATATTTTTGAACTTTATAAAAGTTATCTATGAGTTTTTTTCGATGTTTTTTCTCAAGATTACGAGTAAAAATGTTAAGGATTGTGAGAAATTATCTAGTGCTCTTCAAGTTGTAGAGTAGTTTTCTGAAGTCAATAGAATAAATGGAATTCACAGTTTCGTTTAGACAAAAAGGTTGGTTATTTAAAACAGTTATTTAACCACGAGCCATTAAACTCTAAAAATACACAAATAATTATCTAATCTGCAACTGAATATTACCAGTTGATTGCTTACTATTTACGTCATACCGTTTAGAAGGTCATTAACAGTCAGTTAGTAATTAGGTGTGTTGTTACGCACGTACATAAGAATCATGTAGGTATTATGTATGTGTTCACGAAATACCTATGCAGGGAGGGATTTTGTTCTACAAATAATTAATTTGACTAACATTAACGAAGATATTGAAGGTTTCAATTTGTTAAAATCTGGTATATGTATATAAAAGAACAATTTTAACAAAAGATTTTCTTCGACCTTTGATTTTTGAATAGAGTTGTGGTGTGGTTAATTCGTTGTAAATCAAGCTATCTATATGGCTTTGGCAAATATCGCGACGTATGATAATGAAAGAAAGAACGAAACAAGGAATGAAAGAATTTAGATTTGAAGTAATTAATGCGTACTGTGTATCGAAGATCCAGTAATTATATTTTAACCTGAGCTGAGAGGTGAGGATTTTCAAGCTTAGCAGTGACAAAGCTAACGAATCGTAAATCGTAAACAAGTAATTATAAATACAGTTAATAATATCAAAGAGAGATTTATAAATAAACTCACAAGCTTCACATAGTCAACAAAATTTATGAGCACTTATTAGCAACTATGTATCGCTTTGTGGCTCTATCGCGGCAGGGGTCCGAATGTATCGATGTTCGCAAAAAATTAAACGAAAAAATAAATGTAAGTACTTAAGAAAACATTAATGAGTAAAGTATTTGGTCATAAAATAAATTGTCTGTGGGCAATAAACGCTTTCATTAAGGTACTATCACTAGCATTTTACCACTACGCGGCTTATTTGAGTCAAAAGTTAAAATGCATCTGCTAATTCTAAAACAGTTTTTGCAATCAAATTGGTAATTACATAGATTCATATGTACAGATAGTCAAATAACTTTATTATAATAGTACCTATACTACCTAAAACAGTGAATTTGTTTATTAATTTTATGATTTGACCTCCTAAATCACTGAACTGATTTTGATTAAATAGAGGTATAACTCCGATAGTTGGGCGACGAGACTTTGGAATCCTAGCTTATTGAATAAATTTAAAACGAGTGAAACCGCGTCCAACAGTAAAATTACAAATTAAATAAACAGTCGTGTGAAAGTGATAGCTATAGAAAATTAAAAAAAAACCCAATGTAATCTCACGCAACAGTCGTAACAATGTGTGCACTGCGCATGTCACGCTTATGCAAAAACTGTGTTAATATGCATAAGAGGTGCACAATGCGTACTTTATCACGACCAAACGAATGATTTACGGGTAGGAAGCTACGGTACACGTTTTCCACACTAAATAACGTGGCTAATAAAGTACACGACTAATGAATATTCACAAGTTTTATTGATTACTTCGACTAAGAGTTTTTTGCTAGTGTTGTAACACACCTAATTTGATGCTTTAGTAATGTCGTTCTAGAAAAGGACTCGTGTGTCCCTTTTTCAGTCTAATAATTCTAAGTGTTACTTAGTGTTTTATGATAGGTTCAACTTAAAACACATAACATCACGCCTTTTATCCCCGAAGGGGCAGACAGAGGTGCATATTACGACACTTAATGCCACTGTACAATGTAACACCCACTTTTCACTATTTATGTTATGAGTCCCATGTAATAGGGGGTGAGCCTATTGCCATATACCGGGCATAAGTCCAGACAATGTGCTACCGCTGCTACTTGCGAGTCAGTCAACTTAAAAGTAGGTAAGGATATTTTTATTTTTTTAAATTATTAGTAGTAGTTATAAAGGATGTAAGGAAAATTTTGCAAGGGAAGCTCTTTAAAAAGAATTTGTGGGTCGGAAGACAAGCTAGCTTTACACATAAATGCAGGCAAAGCAAAACATTGTCTTCATTTACAGTAACATACCTTTTATCTACCATGAAGTAGCAAATACATTTAATTTCAGCGACACTAAAGTAGATAAATGAAGCTTAATAGTTGGTTTTAGTTGAAGTCTATAATTATAAATTACTTGTCCATAAGCCTTGTCATTAAAAAGGGCTAATGGACGGTTTAACGGTAAGAGGGGTAATCCGAGTCCTTAATAAAGGACTTTAGGTTACTTAAAATGCATTTATATACTAGGAAATGATATTATTGCATGTTGTTATGTGTGTAAGTATTATGGAAGGAACTAATGACTATTAATGTACTGTTTACGTTCCACGGATTCTAATGACAAGATTACAAACTGCTAATACATGTAGCAGACTGTTTTGTTAGGCTACGTAAATATTGAAATGTTCCTATTGGTATATTTTAAACTTTTGTGTGTGTAATTAAAAGAAAAACAGTTACAAAATACAAAAAAAAAACACGAAAAATATCTAGTAAAAAAAACAGTGAAAAGGGCGCAAAAAGGCCAGTGGTCAGGTAAAACGCCGCCGTCAGAATAATAAAAAAATATAATAATTTTATAAAACTTCCGCAATCACTAAATAATTTATGAAATTATGTGTTACTACGTAAACATTGAAATAAGAATTTGTAATAAATACCTTGTCTATAATAAGCCTTTGGCCAATTGGGACAGAGTTCCCGTGCTCTCGTCGCGTCTTGTAGAGCTGCTGCAAACTGACCCTGTTTCAGTCTTGCTGCCGACCTGTAGGTAATAGTAAAATGCGATATTAGAACAATTTAGGTACCATAATGTATAGCGGTTTACAAATGTCCGAATAATTTGTATAACAAGTATTTACTATTCAGATAAATATAATAAAAAGTCACATTTTAAGTTCAAATTAATACCTATAAAAACAAAATACTTCTATTAATACTACTACCTTGGGCAAAGGTTAAGCATTGCCATTCAACCTCGCAATGCTGTCAGTCTTTTGGGCATCCTACCTCACGATAGCGATGAGGGAAATTTTTTTGATGCGTATTATTTGTATTGATAAAATTAATATTAATTAGTTCCATAGAAACATTAGTTAAGGCGTTTAAAAATAAAACAAAATCGACAGCAAACTGTTAATTTTATATTTCTAACAGTAGTTTCTAGAAGTAATGTTACTTATTCCGTTCCGTACCTAATTTCAAAGTCATGTTTGTCATAAAATGTAGATCACAATGATGCACAATAATTTCATAATTTCTCCTAATTATGTACACGCGTGACTAATGCTATTGCCGACTAATCATATTTGCTAGTACCGTTCACTGTTCTATATGGCATGGCGCGGCATGGTCTACAGTAATTACGGAGACAGTACGTAATTTAAGTCTGGTATTTAAATGTACGTGATATTTGATTAGTAGTCGATGCTTTAATTTAAATAAGTATACTGTCCATTCAAGCTTTTGGAAAAAGCTTTATCTTGTTTGTTTGATTGAAAATGCAAAAGATTCGGAAATCTTTGCGACAATAATGGAAATAATTTGGAGATCATTTAAGCCCCAGTCGCTAAATAAATATGTTGCTCTGTTCTCAAGCAGCAATAATCTTTAAAATTGTTAAACTTACCGATTACTATAAAGTATATGATTGGCAGGATCCAAGGTTAGGGCATCAGTGTAGAGAGCGACGGCGGTGGCGAAGTCTCCAGCTTGACATGCAGCATTGGAGGCTCGCACCTTCTCCACAAAGAGTGCTCGAGACGCCGCCCCAAGCGAAGCAGAGCCCGTCGGCTCCACCTGTGGAAGAAAATTGATTAAAGATTAAAAATCTTAAATAGTAGTCATACATTAAGCTGATAGATATGTATGTAGATCTTGTTTCGAGGTTTTGATTAGAAGGCTTCATAATCACAATAGTTGGTCTCTAAAACTTCTTTCATGGTATTTCGTAAGAAGTTTACCTTAAAGTTATTTGTTTAGTAGCCATGTATACCGAGAGATAGGCGGTTGAGACTGGCCGTTGTTCATTTCGACTGCATGGCATGCAAGGAAATGAACAAAGTATTGGTACTTCCTACTTTCCTGCTCCGACTTTGCGTATAGTAAAACTTAATACGGATTCCGTGACTTACAAAACCGTATTTAGGTTAGAAAACAATTTTCTCTACCTTGTAAGCCCAGACTGACATGTGAGTGGCCACAAACTTTCTAAGTGAAAATTACAGTAATTGACTGAATCACAAGGTACAAGTATGTAGCCTACTAATTTATTACTGCCCTTTTACGTCATTATATGGAATTAACCTTGAAAGAATTTGTGTTAAAGAAAATCCAATTTGATGACTACACGTAAGTTGTACTTTTTATTATTTTACGAAGACATAAATGAATGAAAGCACCCTTTATAATGTCACGAACGGGTCTCGATTTAGAACTTAAGACCCTTAACTAGGGCGAGCAAGCCTGGACGTGAAGAGCTGGAAATCGAGCTCAGTTCTTGTTCAAGAGTGCACAGAATCGGGCTAACGATAATAATTAACCACTGTTCCAACTAACAACACTAGTTTTTAAAGGCAAACCGTTTATCACGCAAAGTGAACAGCAATAAAGAAGTGTTACAAATAACAAGGAACCCAAGTATCTCAGTCGATATCGTAATTTAAAACCTGAAAACTTAAACCATTGATTCGTAACCACATTACTTTTTACAACCGCATCATAATGACGCCCTTTTCCAATTTCCTTTGCTGTTGGTTGTTCGGGTGTTTTCGTAAACACTCGGCTATCATCGGGTATTCGTATGTATTTTACTGGTTTCACGTTTCGTTGTAAACTGTTTGTAATTGTGAGCAATAACATTAATATGCATTGACTTCATAGGATCAACTTGATATTGAGAAAAGTTATTATATCAAAAAGATTGCAAGTACTTTCAAATTATCCTTTCAGTCTTTATTTGTATATAAATGTTATTTCTGGAGACAGTTCATTATGTAAGAACTGTATTTAATCATTAACGAAATATACACTACTAGCTTCTGCCCGCGACTTCGTACGCGCAATCCCGATATTTCCCATTCCCGTTCTTGATTTTCGGTAAAAAGTAAAAAAAAGAATTGGGTAAAAAGTATCCTATGTCCTTCTCCTGGTTCTAAGCTACCTCTCCACCAATTTTCATCCAAATCAATTTAGCCATTCTTGAGTTATAAATAGTGTAACTAACACGACTTTCTTTTATATATATAGATTAAGCTGAAAGCAAAACAGTTCTTGATCAACCTCGTTCTGACTTCACTGCGTTTCTTCATAGTTTGTTAATTAGATAGGTATTCTCATATCTTATTATTTTCCTGAACGCTGATATTTTCCATACCTAACACGACATTGTAATATAGACCGTAATACTGTAATAGTACTTTACTTAGACACTATTTAACGCGACATCGATTAAGTATAATTATGGACTCTTAAAATACAAAGTTTACTTTCATAATATTCGTCACTTAATCATAATATTTTATTGGCATACCCATATAAATATGTGTAAAAACCTTAATACACTAGCTGGTACCGGCAGCTTCGATTGCGATGTGCCGTCAAGGGATAATGTAGCTTATATCACTATCCAGATACCAAAATTATTTATCCTACTATGTATAGCATATTTTGTTATTAGGGCTTATTCCACAGTGACTGAGTAAGTTCCTGATTGACAGATAAATTTGACGAATTTTTCATACGAAACTTTTAGTATCTAGATATACTTTTCCAGATACAAGTCACTGTTTTAGGTAAAAGACCTATAATTAACGTTACGCATGCATGTATTTCGAAGGGATTCCAATTAACCGATTCGTACGTGACTTTTAATGTACGTTATCGATATAAAATTCGATTCCTTAGTCGTTCTCGATGGATATTAAAGCTTGCAATCGATGTGGGTTGTAAAGTTTTCGATATTAATTGGTTTTGAACTTAATTACTTGTTGAATTAATGTTTTTATAGGCCAGTTTGAATGTCGGACGCGAGGACTGCCCTCATGTCATGCATAGGTTTCGATCTACTATGGCGGATGGTTTTATTACGTGGCCTTAAATTTTAACTTGATAAAGAATGGCATTTGAAGATAAGTGAACAAAAAGTGGGTTCCAACGCTAAGTAAAAGCTTTGGGAGTAATAAAACCATGAAGTAGGTGTCTCTTACTGTATTTTATTAGTTTGAGGGATATAAATAAAGGCTGCTTCAATTTGCCGCGGAGGTGAAGAAGTTTGTTCTAGCTAGACTATGATCTTATACAAATTCAACCTAACAGATTCATATTAAAACCTTCCAAAAATAACCAGAGATTAAAATACGTCAAGGTATTTATTCTTCTTAAGTTATGCCAGCATTGTTATGTAAGGCAGCTGTCAGTTTTAACAAAGCCTTGATAAAAAAGGCTCAGCAAGTCAGCAACCCAAAAATAAGTTATTAGCTTATTAGTAAATCATCTCACATTTTTAATATTACAATAAAAAACAAACACTGGCACACGTCTCAATCGTTTTCGTCACTTTTCTAAGAAACAACGCTATGAAAACCGTTTCATAAATATTTACGAGTCAAAATATTTGTGTTAGCTAACAAAAGCATAAAGGATTCGACGGTGCCGACGCAATAATAGTAAAAAACGACAAATGACAAACTGCTACTGAATTCCTAAACCCTTCGTCTAAGATAGTAACGTTAGTAAGTGTTAGAGGGCGTCACTGAACGTGTTCCGTATATAAACACTTTAAAGGAGCTTAAAAGAGGCAATTATCCTCTGGGTAATTTGTTTAAATTGACTTAAGACTGTGTTTCAATAGAATAATTGTTTAATGTTTAATTGTCGTTATAGAATAAATTAAAGAAAATAATAATAGGATATCGACATCAATGCCTTCCATGTAGTAAGCCTTTGACCCTGGTCTTTAAAAATAACTCTGTTGACTTTTTATCGCATACAATAGTAAAAGCATTCTTAATTAACAATTGTGTTTTAAGCACAAATAAAGAACGTTGCGGAATTAAACGAAGGCTTGAAATATTCATTGGTCCATGCACCGAGCAGAGATCCCTAAAAATAAAGTATTTTAAATTTGAAACGGGCGAGGAGGCGTGAGGCGCGATCGCCACCTGCGCTATCTATCCGACCGCATCGGAAGCGAGAGTATTTTTTTCTCACGGACCGCATTCTCTTACCTTACCGTGAAACAACCAGCCATTGATCTTCCCCTCCTATACCTTATACAAAGCTGCGCCACACATTCTTTAACTAAACTCTAGATTAAGTTACAGAGTAATGTATTTCGTACTGTTTCAAAACACCGATTTAATACATTTTAGTGTGTTGTGTATTGCAGGCGGGCGGAGAAGGCGCCCTTTTACCTATGGCCGGGGTCCTCAGATACTCTACACACTCGTGAACGTGATCTTTGTGCTGTAACAATGACGAATTGACTAAAAAGGGCATTGTTTAATGGTACCAATGTCTATAGACAGACTCGTTTTGGGATATATGCGGTGGGAAGATGGGAAATACGTGAACTAAGCATTCTGGAAAAAGTAACATTTAAAGTTAAACATAGAGATTGCTATAAAGGTTAGCCAAGGTTACAAAGGTCGTTCGTTGATCTTACCGAACGGGATAAGTCCCATTAAGAAGAGAAGGAACAACGCTTGGACTATTGGAATTATATAAACTACATTTCTCTATACCGCGAACGATGTAACTGTGATGATAGCTGACTTAAATATCTCCAAATATGGGAAAGTCTATGTTGAACAGAAACTACGATTCCCGGAAAACATGTTGCATTCCTTTTCCGGGTTTCTAAGCTGTATGTTCAGCAAATATTGAACGGCGATACGCCCATTCTGCGTTGTAAGTTCAAAAATTATCATTTCATTTTCATAGCGGCGACATTCGATAAGTTTACCATAAACGGTAAGTTTACCATCATTACGAACGTTTATCAATGCGCTCCCGTGTCGTATAGCGGGCGCATGCGCATCCACCGGTAATGATCGCCGATTGTTTCGGCCATCTTGAAATATGAGCGACGTAATCGAGCCTTATTCGCTTTATTAAAATTTCGTTTAAAGAGGCGCCTGATAACCGTTCGCTGGACGGATTGGGTAATTATTTTTTCTTGAAACGACCTTTCATTTATCTTGTAACGTTACTTTTTTAAATGAAAAGATGCGGACCGCCCCACGACGCTTAGTGAACGTCATATCGGAAGAATTTTTAATATCGGCGTAGTTAATTAAAGTGTGTTTAAACATTATCCGTCGATTTATCAAAATGTAATTGCGAGTAGAAAATGCACAGCATGTAATGTAAATACATGGTCGGACCGACCGTTCGTAATGAACATTAATAATGAGAACTCTTATCCTTTGAAATTTGCATTCTCCCATGTATAATGTCGCGGTTGTTCGTGATTACAATTTTTCATTTAAGTAATCCTTTATCTGATGGGCATGTCATATTTCTGATTAATGCAGACAGTCTTATCTGAACAGTGGAAACGCACCTACTTATATTTTACCGAACAGAAACGATATTACGGATAAGTATCGTCTTAGAAATGCAAAAACAGACAATTTGAAGCGATAATTTAAAGAGAAATTGCGTTTAGTTTGCAACAGAAACCAAAACATGTTTAAAGGAAGATTTAAGTACATTTCAAGAGAACGCACCCGCTGGCTCTGTTAGTTTGCATGTCATTTCAATACCTATACATTTATAATTTATATAAATAAATCCATCATTTCTCGGTATAACGACTCACGAACATTTATCATAGACACAAAATGTGTTCTGTGAAATCATTTGAAATTCAACGTGCGACTATAACTTCCTATTTTATGGGTCCGGGATAGATGCGTGGTCACATTTGAACTGTACGGTCGGAATTACATGTAAAACCATGTAGATACATGACATAGTCGAATATATGATGAGGGGTGTGTGTGGGGCTGAAGCTGGTGTGATGCAATCCGTTGATGGGCAGTCCATTTTTGCATAGACTGTCAATATTTAGACATCGTTACGAGTAATCGTTGATCAGTGGGACTGAGATACCTTCATTTTAATATTTTTTAATAACCTACTCGTGTACAATAATAACACCTACAACAGCATAAGATGTTAGTAGAATTTTATTATAATTACTTTAAACACAACACTGTAGTCTTGATATTAGCATATACATATGTACTTGTACTATTTGAGATGGATTTATGAATAGAGGAATAAAGCTAACGTAATTAAAAAACAGTACTTAGTAGGAATGTGCCTACACTCAATATCGCTCATCTGTATATTCATATTCATAAGTAGGTATTGAAAAGAACAAAAGTGAATACAAAAACAACACTTCTTGTGCCTTGTACCCCTTATGTATAAGTAGGTACTATACAATCAATGTTTCCTTTCTACCATTCTCAGGCCATTGAGAATCACAACATGCTGTTGTGCAAACGCTAATTCGCTTTCAATGTAACTTGCACTTTTGATGGCAATAGATGAATACTGTGATGAAAATCATGTGTGTTGTATAGAGTTTATAGCTCGTGTTCTAAACCTAAAATAAGAGGCTTAAAACGTAGGAACTTGTTACATTATTTTGTACACATATAAGAATATTTGGGAAATACGTGAAAACTGAAAGTTGATAAGCCGATGTAGTGTAACAATGTTTATACCACTTTAATTAGTAATTTTACGTAAACAATTTTGTACTAATGCTACCAGAAACCAATGAGAAGGACGACATTTTTAATGAGATTATGTGACATTCATGAATATTCTCTGAAAGTCTTAAGGATAAAACAATAAAAGAGAAGGATTTTTTAAGCGGTTACCACAACAAAGCATTTGTAATGACGGCACTGCTGACTCCGTCACGTTCTATCGTTCCTACGTGATAGGACAGGCCCATCGTCAGGTGCCGTCAGTTTTGTTGTGAGAAAAAATATGACAATGTACGCGGATCAGATGTAAAGACATCTTCCTTAAGATCTTAAAGATTTCTTAGCAATTACCCTGTTACAATACTTCGCCAAGATACGAATGAATTTCAAAAGACTCAAATGTCTGGACTCAGACCCTGCCCAGGTATAAGGGGTTATAAAAAAGATGTCGGCCATTCTTTGTCTATTTTTT